CGAGTGGGCCAAGGTCGTCGAACCCTTCATCCCCCAGCTCCTCGAGCTCCCCGGCAAGATCATCGCGAGCCCGCAGTCGCTGCCCCAGATCTACCTCGAGACGAACCCCCTCGTCTCCGGCTTCGCCTTTTCCCTGCTCATTGCCGTCCTCACTCTCGGCGTGTCAGAGTACCACCGCAACTTTTCCCAAATCGACCGGCTGTGGAGTCTCCTGCCAAACTGGTATGTCCTGCACACGGCGGCATGGGCGTACCTAAATGGCGAACCCTGGCAGCGAGTCGCGCTGGCCGGGGCAGCGACCACCCTCTGGAGTGTAAGGAGAACAAGAAGGATCTATCATGTAGCTTGAGGAAGAGTGCTGATACCATTGTGCCGATAGTCCAGATTGACCTTCAACTACTGGCGCAAGGGAGGTTACGAGCGCGGAAGTGAAGACTACAGATGGTACAGAAACCCTCCCCATCGAATATTACCCCTCCAGCGAGTTTTCTAACATGTCCATCTACGCAGGGAAATCGTCCGCGCATACGTCCCCGCCTGGGTCTTCTTCCTATTCAACGTCACCTTCATCTCCTTCATCCAATCCATCCTCCTCTTCGCCTTCTCCGCCGCCCCCGCCTACTCTCTCCTCCTCGCCAGCCGCATCGAGCCCGACCTCGCCGCCTCGGACTACTCTTTCTTCACCATCCTCGCCGGCCTCGTCCTCAGCGAGTACATCAGCGACGGCCAGCAGTGGGATTACCAGACCGCCAAAGCCACCTACAAGAAGGGCAACGGCGCCGCCGCCGCCGTGCCCCGCGGCTGGGCTCAGGCGGACCTCGAGCGCGGCTTCGTCACGCACGGTCTCTGGGCCTACAGCCGCCACCCCAACTTCTTCGCCGAGCAGATGGTCTGGTTCGTGCTCTACCAGTGGAGCTGCTACGCCACCAAGGTGCTGTACAGCTACACCTTTGCCGGCTCCGCCTTCCTCGTGCTGCTGTTCCAGGGCTCGACGTGGCTCACTGAGCTGATCACGGCGGGCAAGTACCACGAGTACGCCGAGTACCAGAGCCAGGTTGGCATGTTTATGCCAAAGTCGCTGTTTCCGTACAAGAAGCCCCCGCCCAAGGTCATCCGCACGAGCGAGCTTGCCAAGCGCCAGACCAAGAAGGATAAATAAAGAAGGCAAGACTAGAAACATGCTTGTCCATGTGAAGACAAGGCCTATTCAGCCGTAGCGGGGAATTCTTTTGGTCTGGGGACTGGAATAGACTGTGAAATGCATCTGTGTATTCTTCTAGACGAAGTCTTTTTCTAGTTTCTAGTGAGGTCGTTATGGAGTTCATCTATGCATCCGGAGCATGTAGTCATAGGGAAAATATTCATACCAAACTCATTCCAACCCTTGCCACCCAGTCGGCCTTACTCATCTCCCTCCCTCAAGCATCAAGCTTCAAGCTGGCAAGGCTGTCAACATAGTACGCCGGCACGGCCGCGGCACCCTCCTTCTCCCAATCCTCCTTCTTGTGCACGCCAGTCAAGACGGCGAGCGTGCCGCCCAACTTGCCCTCGATGCCGAACTTAATGTCCGTGTCGAGGCGGTCGCCAATCATGCACGTCCGCTCGCGGTTCAGCTGAAACTTGCCCTCGACGGCGTCCATCATGGCCTGCGACGGCTTCCCCAGCGCCACGGGCTGCTGCTGGCTCATGTTGACGAGCGGGATCGAGATGGAGCCCGCGCCGGGGAAGAACGTGTGCGACATGGGCAGCGTGCTGTCCGTGTTGGTCGCGAGAAAGACGGCGCCGCGGCGGAGGTACTGGTACCCCAAGCTCAACTTCAGATAGTTGATGTGGAAGTCCAGCCCCGCGAGCACGACGCCGACTTCCGGGTCGAGGGCGGAGCCGTCGGCGATGGCGGCAAAGTCCTCGGGGCCGATGTCGCGGCGCAGAGCCGGGTCGGTGCCGCCGATGAAGTCGACGCCCTCGGCGCGGAGCTCGGCTTCGATGCCGGCCTCGCCAATGACGAAGACTTTGCGCTTGTCGGCGGGGAGGTCGAGGATGCGGGAGACGTAGACGGCGGAGGAGTAGGCTGAGCCAAAGATGTCTTCCACGTCCGAGGGGATGTCGAGGGCGGCGAACTTCTTGTGGTATTCTTGGCGGGACTTTGTCGAGTTGTTTGTTACGAAGACGGTGCGCTTGCCTGTTGGTGGGGGGGAACGAGCACTCAAGAGGTTAGGGGCCGAGACATTCGATTTGTAAGAGATTTTGCAAAAAGGGGGAAAAAATCAGGATGAGCAACCTCTTGAGCGAAGGAAGGCGAGCGTCTCGCGGATGCCGTCGAATAGGTGGTCTCCGGACCAGAGGACGCCTGTTTGCGTAGGAGAAGAGTTGTCAGTTGTGCTCGGAAGAAGCACTTGTTTCATCCGGAGAAAGACGATGAGAGTTACCGTCACAATCGATGAGGAAGACCTATATCTCATGAAATAAGCAAAGTCCTCATCTCATTTTCTGAACATCGTGAGATTCTCCACTGGTGAAAATGACTCAACGAGGTGGGGGGAGTTGCTGCTCACGTCAAACTTGTCGAGGAATTCTTGAGTGGCGGCAGAGTCGCCGGTGAGATATTTAGGCTGCTGTTGTTGAGACATCGTGAACTTTTAGGAGCTTGGTGTTTAGATTCAACAAAAAGTCTATCGGACAGGGCTGGGTTACTAAGGTGAGAATGAGGTGTAGGTCGTTCTAGAGGTTGAGTTTCGGGATGGTGGGACAAGGGTGCGGAAGCGGGTTTCTGGCATGCGGCGCTGATGACGGAGTGGGGGTAGTGAGGTCGGACGGCCATCGTCCGATTGGCCGGTGGGTACTGGTGGCCTTGCAAGTGACGGCTCGATCTGGATGGCATGGGATTAGGTATTGAAACCTGGGGAGGATGGAGTGAGACTGAGGGGAGGTTCAGAAACATGCCTGTGGCTGTCCAGTCTGGGTGCAATGAGCCAAGCCCTTGATTCCCCAGTTTAGGTATCAGGTCTTCCAAGTGTTGAGACGGGCGGATGTTGGAGTAGGCATCATAAGCAGGGAAAGTTGGCAGGAATTGCTCGATGGGATTTGAGACTTCATCGCCGCGTTGAGCGTTCCATTGTGCCCTCCCTCAAGCTTGCTTCCCCAGATTTTATCAATTGCAGTCGAGACAAGTGGGATGGCTGGGCTTGTCGCTCGCTTTCATCTCATATTCTTACATATTCAATTCCAACCTCACCTCATATCTGCGAAACCGGACCGCTACAGCATCTAACAATGCCAGCCCGCATTCTTGTCCATGAACAGCGGCATGTCGCTCACAAGCATTTCAACAGAAATTGGGGGTTTCCCCATGGGCCGGAGTGATTGAGAAATGCAGCTAGGTTCAAATGTACGTGCTCCAGCATGTCCAGCAACGCAAGTCAACACCTAGAAGCATACATGCAACCTGGTGAATGGGATAGATGGAATGCAAGACAATAAGCGCCATGCAAAGCCCGTTCCGCTACCGGTCGCAGTGCTCGAACAGCCCCCCACACTGAGGAGAAGAAAGCAAGCAAACGCTCCGGGTGCGGAGTTTTTGTGTTCTGTCGGGCTTGCGTTGCAGCCGTGTCAGCACCTCTGCGAACCTGCTGACTTGGCGTCTCCATCTGTAATCACCTTCCTCATGCCTCGGCTTGGGCATGGACAACATGCATCTACTGCGTAAATATTTGACTGCTGATGACCAACGTAAAGCCAGGTGACGTCAGGTGGGGAGCTGTCATCGCATGGCAAAGATGAGTCGTTGAACGGAGTGTCCGGGCGTGGTGGCGTCGAGAACGGATTTTTCATGTGCCAATTTTCTTAATTCCCCATCACGTTGCTTTTTCTCGGGTGACAAGGGTATCCGTACCGTAAATACGGTCGGCGCCAACGGGTACATGTGACAGTTTCCATTGACGTATGCCGATCTCCTTTAGCAGATTGGATTGAAGCGCGACCCGGTACGTCCGCCGTGTCCGTCAGTTATCATTCAACTTCCAAGAGCCTGAGATCACAACGTCGAAGCGCCAGCGCGAAACCTCCGTGGGATCCGAGTAGGATGCCGTCGCAGGTGCGCGAGTGCACGGGGGTTCAACTTTGGTGGTGGCAGATGGCACTCCATAGATTGTCTGGAACTCTGGATCGGGGGCCACTGTGCCGATCAGCGGCAGCGGACCAGACTAAGCGGCGGACCCTGAATGTGTTAGTCCCTGATGATCAATCGATGGAATTCTGCTTGGCTCCGCTGCATGTCTGCCAGTGTAGCAACCACCACCGCGGCTCTCTTCCGTTCGCGACGTTGTTCGAACCTCCGACTACGGCGTCGCAACTGACATGCCAACCCCCGCGGGTTTTCAACCACACAATCCGAGGCCGAATTGCGTGCGCGGCATGCCATGGGTTCTCATTCTATTGCTTCCTAAGCTGGACCAGGATGAGGAAGTTGCCCGAAGCGGCCGACCACGGTCAGCACAACGCTTCATTCCTTGGGCGGTGTAGATGAATGGCTGCCTCACCGCTTTCGCATGTTTCACCGACCCAGGCAGAGACCCCGGGGAATGAGCGTGGGGTGTCGAGGGGGAGCTCAGGAAGAGAGGAGTCCAGGCGCACCATCGTCGAGACCCTCGTCCGGGGAAAGGCACGGATCGTGAGTTATTGGCCCTTGAGGGACGTTTTGGTGTGGATGAGGGTGGTTGCTTGGCTGGGCGGCTGACAGGCTGGCCACGTTCGGCGTGGGGGAGCTAAGCCGGGTGAAGCATGGGAAAGGTCCCGTGTAAGGAAGGTGTAGCAGACAACACCGACTAGTACCTACTTTAGACTCAGAAAGAGAGATCGTGTGAAAAAAAAAAAAAAAAGTTCACTAGTCTGATCCGTCTCTACGGACCCTTCCCGGGTGAAAATTGCAACTCACCGAGGCGCTTCGGTCATGAACGATTTTTCATCGCTATTGCCCTTTCGGTCCGTTGCTCCTTCCCACAGAGAGACACATCAGACACACACCCAAAAAGGGAAAAAGAAAAAAAAAAGATAAGGAGGACGTTTGCTTCAGATGGAAAGTATTATAAATCTGCTCCTCCCCGCTTGCCACATGCCACACATATTCGGACTTTACGGTCATAAGTCACAAGGATAGCCAATTTTGAACCGAAAGAGCCTCCCGTCGACAATTTGACTTTCTTTCCCTCGTCACGATTACCCAAGGTTCCCTCGGCCGCCGTCCCTTTGCACCCAAAAAAGCAGCAATAACAACTTAGGATCGATACGAGAGCTCTCCTCCGCCCACCTCTAACGTCAACCACATCCACACACACCACGGTTCCCTGGCTCGTCCGTACCTTGCTGCCCTTTTCTCCATAACCTTGTCCACCTTGGTCCGAATTAATCCCTATTCTCCTCGCACACCCACTCAAAATAGTCCCGCGGAACCTGACTCTTCCCTACGGACCTACGCTATCTTTCTCCACCGTCCCAAACAATCGTCTCATCAGCATTGGACCGAAAAAAGCGGCAAATCAGACCCCACCGGAGACAGCTTTTCGATAGCCCATATATCAGCAGCCATGGCTCCCCTCCCTATCTCTGAAGAGCAACTGCTCAACCTTTCATCTCTTCCCACCTACGACTACACAATGGCTTCTCAGGCACACAACGTTCAGACGCCCGTCACGGGTTCCACCGACGCCTCTGTCCAGGCCGACTACTTCACTTCCATCCAGAGCTCCACAACCACCTCTACGCGCACATCTGCTGAGATCCAGGATCGCCCCGTTATCACTCCTGGCGGCACCGTTACGACCTCTTCCGCCCTCCAGAGCAAGAACCCCCTGCCGCCCCTCTCTCGCGACTTCCCCAAGCCTACCGCCGAGATCGACGTCGAGGAGGCTCTTTCCCGCAAGCCTGGCCGTTGGACTGTCAGAGGAGCCATTGCCGTCGACCGACCCGTCCAGGTCGTCGACGAAGAGAAGGTTAAGGCCCAGCGCCGCAAGGCCCTCGAGGACGCCAAGAGGGAGCTCTTCGCCTCCAGCGAGGCTCTCAAGAACGTTCCGCTCCCGCCGCGCAAGAACAACTTTTAGGCGACGACGAATGACGGTCAAATGGGACATGTCGCTGGCTACAGCAACGGCGACACAGCCCACGAGTTACCGCCGGCGACGACGATTGAATTTCGGTGTTCTTGCATTTTCAGTACAATTCGACACACGGCTTGTTCGGCTCGCGAACGGACTCGCGTCGAGCACCTTGCGCCAGTCGAAGACGATACCCAGGCGTAAAATCGGATTGATGGACGGACGGACGGGCGGATGGAGGAAGCACTAGCAGTCTGCGAGGAAGGCAGAGGCGTCGGACAGCGCAACTTCAGGGCAATCAGTAGCGCACAGAGACGAATGTCTTTGCACCTCACCAAACGGCGTTTCATTCGAGCATGAGCAATTTCTTATTTTTCGGGGGTTCACTTGATGAACATGATTAAAAGGGACGGGAAAAGTGAAAACGTACTGCGTTTTGCGGTAATATGCCGACTTGTACTTACGTGCAAATGAGTCAAATCCTAATACACGGCTTCTGCCAACCTAACCAGTCACCTAATCTGCATTCTTACACTACTATACATGGACGTGACCTTAGTCAAGACGAGCTGCCAGCGAGAAGCCGTACTGGATCATGGCAATGAAGCCAGCCAGGTTAATGAGGGTGGAGATGCCGTGGAGCTTGCCAAAGGACTTGTTGAGAGCCTGCATCTCCTGAGAATGCGGCGCGGCGTCGTAGCTCTTCTTTCCATCCTTTTTCTCTGTGTCCACTAGTCAGCGCCTCTTTGTCGTTCCTGAACAGAGGACGTTTATATAACGAAGTCGTGGAACTCGGACTCACCTTGGGCATATCTAGCCTTCATGACCGTTACAGTCTTGGGCAGGACAACGGCGAGGTTGACGAGGCCCGTGAGGAACATGGTGGCGATGGGCAGCAGGGCAGTATAGCGGTTCGACTCCTGGAGGAGCCCGGTGATGCTGCTGGCCTGCTCGCCGAGGAGGCCGCGGCTGCCCGGGTAGGTGAGGGCCATGATAGCGGGGAGCGCCGTCTGGATGGTGAAGTAGACGGGGAACAGGGCGTTTTGGGCGGTTGCAAAGGCTGGTCGCTCGAGGACGCGGAACATTGTGATGCCGTTTACAAAGGACTTGTTTGGCCTGTTAGGGTACTTTGATCCAGTGTCCGGATTGCGGTGGTGACTTACATGGAAGAACGTCGTTCCTAGGAGGGCTCCATAGCTATGTTGACAGTGTTAGAATGTCGATGAACGACGACCCATGATCTGACTCGATGCACTTGAGAGGGAACGGCTTACGAGATGATGTGGTAGGGGCCCGGGGAGAATACGATGGAGTCTGACATGACGGGCAACGGCGGTCACTGATGCAAGGTGTTTGATAATGGTAGGTATCTCGTTTGGAGTGAGGTTGGATGATGAAGAGTGGTTGCATTGATTGAGAGGCTATAGAATGATGCGGTGCCATCTGGAACGAGCCGCTGGTGAGGAGTACAGGGGTCCCGTCGAATGTATGAGGTCACCTCGGCATAGCTCCATTCCTTGCACCAGTGCCAGCTCGGGGTCCCTAAACTTCCGTCCTTGCCTTACCTACAAGTCCAACGCCTAGTCTTCACATACAAAGCTGGCTGTACAACAGTTCCTCATGATGTGACGCTCAACCTGTAAAATCAATTCTCATATACGTACAAGAAGGGGGAAGTACCTTTCTGACATGGTTGGGATTGAATTAGAAGCCGACAGTCAAGAGGTGATTGATATGCTGGGCTGTTTATCGCTATCGCCACGTGACTTCGTGTTGGTGACAGTCAGTCTGCAGTTGTAGCGCGCTTCCCCAGTGTACCCAGGTCGCGCCGGAGCCTGGAGCTCAATGGACCTCATCTGCCTAAAGTGAGCCAGGATCTAAGTCAAAGTCTCCGTGCGCCAACGTCCTTCTTAAAGGGATCCTTCATCGCTTGCTCAGAGCTTCTTTTACATGCTGCAAGACTTTGCATTGCATTGCGCTCAATGCCTTGCCTTTAGAACTCTCCGTCCATCCCAAAACCCCAGCTTCTTCTAATCATCCTCACAATGGCGGACAAGGAGGCATCGGTCTACATTGTCGACCTCGGGTCCTCCATGGCCGACTGCCACAACGGCCGCACCGAATCGGACCTGGACTGGAGCATGCGGTACGTATGGGACAAGATCTCAACCACAGTCGCCGCCTCGCGGAAAACATGGACCGTCGGCGTCATCGGTCTCAAGACGGATGAGACCCAGAACGCCATGGGGGAAGAAGAGGGATACGGCAACATCTCAGTCTTGCAGGAGCTCGGCCCAATGACGATGACTTCTCTGAGGGAACTCACGGATGCGGTGAAGCCGAGCGAGACGGATACGGGCGATGCAGTCTCCGCGGTGGTCCTCGCCGTCGACATGATTGAGACGTTTACCAAGAAGCTCAAGTATAAGCGGCGCATCTACCTCATCACCGATGGCATGTCTGTGATTGACGGCGACGATGTTGATTCGATTGCAAAAAAGATCAATCACGACGGAATTGAGCTGATTGTACTGTGAGTTTGTCCAATGCATCAGCGTAGAGTCTGCACTAACACCAAGCAGAGGCGTGGACTTTGACGATGCAGAGTTCGGCTTTAAGGAAGAGGACAAGCCGTCAATCAAGGTGCGGCGTCTTTGCTCATTCTCCGCTTCTATAAGACTAACAATCCTCTGCAGAAAAAGAATGAAGAAATCCTCAAGGATTTGGTCTCCAAATGCGACAATGCCCAATTTGCAACGATTGCAGAGGCCATTGACGAGCTGGACACACCGCGTCTCAAACCTGTCAAGCCCTACAAGACATACGACGGACCCCTAACCCTCGGTCTGGCTGACCCTCCAGAGGACCTCAAGATCCCACCCACGCCCGCAGTCATCAATGTCGAGCGCTACTTCAAGACCAAGCAAGCCAAAGCCCCAACCGCCTCCACCGTCGTAGTATCGGCCGAACCCGGTCCCTCGCAGCAGCTTGAAGGCGGCGACCCCATGGAGGGTGTCGAGTCGACGTCGGCTGGTTTCGCGGCGGTCAAGTCGGCGCGGGCGTACAAGATCAATGACCCGGATGCGCCAGGCGGCAAGCGTGACGTTGAGTTCGAGTCCCTGGCCAAGGGGTACCAGTACGGCCGCACGGCGGTCGCGATCAGCGAGTCCGAGTGGAACGTTACCAAGCTCGAGACGGTCAAGACCTTTAGCATCATTGGCTTCATTCCCTGCGAAAAGGTATAGTCCTGAGACGTTTTTCTCCCACTATGCAAATGCCGCCCCTTTCTTTCTCTCTAACAAGAAACCTCCAACCGCAGTACGAGCCGTTTCTCAACATGGGCGAGACGTGCGTGACGGTCGCCCGCAAGTTTGACGAAAAGTCGCAGCTCGCCCTGTCCTCCCTCATCCATGCCCTCTACGAGCTCGAGTCCTACGCCGTCGCACGACTTGTAGTCAAGGAGAAGAAGGACCCCGTCCTCGTCCTCCTAGATCCGCGCATCGAGCCGGACATGGAGTGCCTCTACGACGTACCCCTCCCCTTTGCGGAGGATGTTCGGGGGTACCAGTTCCCGCCACTCGATAAGGTCATCACCGTCAGCGGGCAGAAGATCACGACAAATCATCGCTTGCTCCCCGGAGATGAGCTCACAGATGCCATGAGCGACTACGTCGACTCTATGGATCTGGGTACTTTTGGTACTGACGACGATGGGTACGTTCACTTCACAACATGCAATCTCCATTCCAACTCTCTACTGACGTTCTGCAATCAAGAAACTCGTCAGAGTACGCTGCTATAGACGACACATACAACCCAATCATCCACAGAATCAACCAAGCCATCCGCCAAAGGGCTGTCAACCCGAAAGGCGAGATTGACCCGGTTCCTCCCATTCTAGTGCGCTACGCCGCGCCCCCAGAAGAACTAGTCGAGAAATCGAAATCCCAAATCGAGGGTCTCATCTCAGCAGCACAAGTGAAGAAAGGTAAAAACCGACCCCTTTGCTCTCTTCCCTCACCCCCTCTCTCCTGTACTGCCATGGCTCGCTTCCACTAACACAAACTTCAACAATCTAGTACCTCCCAAAGCAAAGGGAAAACGCAAATTCGAGGCCGCAAAACCCCTCTCAGGCCTCGACGTCGACGCTCTCCTGGGAACAACGTCTAAATCAACCTCCAAACGCCCCAAAATCACCCCCGAAAACGCCATTCCGGACCTCAAGCGCGCCCTCGCCACCGCGGAAGACGAGTCCGAGATCCGCGACGCGGCGAAGCAAATGGCCGCCGTCGTCGCGCAGCTCGTGACGGACAGCTTCGGCGACAACAACTACGCCCGCGCGTCCGAGAACCTGAGCGTCCTCCGCCGCGGGCTCGTCGAGCTCGAGGAGCCGGGCGTGTATAATGACCTCATCAGGGACCTGAAGAAGAAGATGCTCTCGGGCGAGCTGGGCGGGGATCGGAGGGAGATGTGGTGGCGGGTGAGGACGTCGCGGTTGGGGTTGATTGATCAGGGGACGTCGGAGGTTTCCAATGTCAAGAGCGAAGAGGCTGATGAGGTTTGTTCTATTTCTCTTTCATGGTTTGACATCTTCTGATTGATCCGTTTTACTAACCTCGATTGCAGTTTCTAAAGTCAAAATGAGTGATGAGGTCAAATCACAGCGGGCGTTGGGAAAATCATGATAGTCTACGGCAGATCTCTTATAAGCCCTGAATGAGCAAAAGACGGATTCTCGTGCACGCAATGCCTGTGCACGCCTAACTATCTATCCACCTTCCAAACGTGCTTGTGTGAATGCGTAGAAGAAGAATGCTCCTCTACATGCTGATCCAAGCAACCTTACTTCGCCTCAACCTTTCCCTTCTCACCGTTCTCCTGGTCTTTGTCAACTCTCTCTCTGACAGCGACGCCAAGCATCGCCTGCATGGTATACGCAGCATCGTTGCCCGCATTGTGGAGGTTGCTGTGCTCGATGCCTAGGTCAGTCAGCACCATACCCAAGCTGCGGCCCTGCGACTCGCCGCGCCAGGCCTGGTGCATGTCCTTGGAGTCGAGCGTACGGCTCGCGACGCCGCTGATGCCCCAGAGCTCCACGCCCATCTTGTCTAGGTAGCCGAGATCGGCTCCGAGGTCGTGGCCGAGGAGGACGATGGTGCGGGGGCGTTTGTCTTTGTCGGCGGCGTCCTCTATATTGTCAAAGGAGAGGTCGCTGACGGCGGTGCAGACCTTTTCGGGGAGCTCGCTGAGCTTGGGGTACTCGCTCTTGCTGTGTATGGTCAGTCTGTGATTCTTCTAAGACGGTGATAGTGCATGGCTTACCCAAAGTTGAAGAGCTCAGGACAACCCTTGATGTACTTGCGGTTGCGGATGTGACGGTACTCATAGGTGATAAGATGGCGTTTCTTGATAAGCGGAACCCAGTTGCGGCCGCTCTCGCCAGGCGGGACGCCAACGAGGTCATTGGTGTCCAGGGTCGAGATGCCAATCTCCAAGACGGTTCCGTGGTGCTCCTCGGCGACCTCAATATCGATGCACACAAAGACCACATTCTGCTCCAGCACATGAGGAACCGGCTTATCCAGCTCGACCTTCTTGTTCTTCTCATCGACATCGCTAGCCTTGGGACGAAGACCGAGGTACAGCTGCGCATCGTAGAGGGACTCGGCCCGGTTCAGCGCCTTGTTTTGCTTCTTCTTCTTGCTCTTGGTCTTGATATCCTTGAAGTTGGCGTGCATGTTGAGCAGCTTCATGAGCGTCTCCATTCCAAAGACAGTGGCATCGTCACACGCGTCGTCATCCTCGGGAGGCGGAATCGCATCGTTCAGAGCGAGGTACTCGTTGTGCGAGGCGGAGCGGGCAATGTACTTGGGCCGAATGGTGCAGCTGGAGCCGAACACGAGGTAGAACATCTCGCCTGGCTTACCAGCAGGGATGGTCAGCTTCGTCTGAATCGAGGCATTGACGACGTCTAGGAAGTGCTGGAACTGAACGGTCGGAACGAAGATGTAGGGCGACTGATCCAAGGCCTTGGGGTGGTAGACGTAGAAGCTAGAAAGACGTTAGTTTCTCTCGCTTGGGATGGGCCCGTTTGATTCTCGATACTCACAAGTCCCAAGTGTGCTCCTCGGTAATGTCATCGAAGAAGGGAGTTGCCTATTTTCGGCGTCAGCTAGAGAAATGAGGCGTCTCAGCGGCGTGAGGCGCTCACCTTTGGTCGATTGGTCTTGCCGATGAAGCTGAGAGGGTATCTCTGGACGACGTCCCAAGAGACGAAGGTCATGTTCTCCGCCGAGAGGTCGCCCGCCTTCATCCCATTGAACTCGGGAAAGTCTTGCTTCATTAGGGCGTTGAAATCCGCGGGAGCTAACTTCTCAGACTTGGAAGGTTCGAGAGGTGGTCCGATGTAGTGGGGAGTTTTCTTCTCGACTGGCTTGGTGATGGATTTTCCCTGGATTGCTGCTTTCCTGGCTGCAATTTGGCGATCGAGAAGGAGAGGGTCAAGAACGATTTCCTCTAGGGTATCTTCCACTTCTTGAGAAGTGCCTTCCTCGAAGAAGATTTCGTCGCCAAAGGCTCCGAATAGACGTTCAAGCTGCTCAGCCTGGGTGACGGCCATTGTGGAGTGAGCGTGCGGAAGGTGTAGAGAATACCGGAGTGTGTGGATGCGCAAGGTGAGTGGGAGATGGAATTCTGAAAGACGCAAAAAAGCGTCTGAATCGGCCAGAAATAAGCCGTTTGCTTTAATTGAGTACGTATGAGTGAGTGCTTGTGGATATGTGGTTGACGGGTGATGGTTGGGCTAACAAAGCTGAGTTGAGCTTGGTAGAAGTAGAAGGGAAGATCTCCGAGTAGGGACGCCCTTTAAGAGGTAGAGGGCTCGTGGATCAAAGAGAAAGAGAAAGGTGCAGTGAGATGAGGTGCCTTCCCTACCGGTAATTCAAGAAGTGGAATACTCAGCTAGACGGTGGAACAACCAAGATGAGTGGAATAGCGAGGCGGAATGTGCGACAAAACTGATAAATCCAACCTTGGGAGATTGTGAATATTGCAAGGAGATTAAACTGAGGTGAATCATAGAGACCACAGTGACAAAGCTCTCTCAAAAATACATTGCCAGGCTTATTCAAGTCCTGTCGCTTTGAACACGAACATGTAAGTTCTTTCATGCCCTCGGTAGCTTACATTGGCGGTGGCAGCTACTTGACAAGATTCCGAGTCTTATGGAATAGTGCGATTCAGAACGATGATAGCTCTACTGGTATTCTATCAAGATGCATGGCCTTCTTTTAACGGATATTGAAGGGAAAGAGGAGTCTTTGAAGTCACTTTGCTGCTACACTAGGTATCTTTGACCAGTCGTACGTGGTTAGTAATTGAGGATTACCGAATAAAGAACAGCACCAATATTCTAGAGATCAACGCTTCCAAAAAGCACTTGCGAGCAGCAACGGCTCTATTTCTCTACTACATCACTCTCAGCTAGGGAATGAGTAAGATGATCAGATTTCGTTAACAGATCCAAGAATGTAAATTGAGTCTAGTTACAGCGATAGGCTGCAAGAGGAAACAAAGCTTTCAAAAACATCCTAGGCAGGCTGGACAGGTTGAAGCACCCTTGGGGGGACGCTTCCAAACTTATCCGCACAAGTGTGTAGGTCAAACCCCGAGCGTTTGCGAGGTCAAACGCTTCAGTCATCAAGCTGTAAGGTAGGTAGGTAGCTTGAAGTGGTGGGAATAGCTAACGGCAAACGGATAAAAACATCCCAGTTGTCTGCCTTCAGCTACGGATGTATGCATTGATACAATCAAGGTGGAAAACTGCTTTGCAATTGGATCAGACTGAAGTTGTTCGTACACTACTTACACAACAGCCGCGGTCTAACAAACCGCTCTCAGCAGCAGATAACCCATTGTGTCGGCGCAAACAGCAGCCCAATGTCCAAACTTTCCCCAACGAAAACATATTCACAGACAACTCGACTAGACAGCCCGAACCGATCCACTCTACCTTAGGTTGACTGGAAGTGTCTCCACCCAACGCACTATCACTGAACGCCGACATCCATCAGCATGCTTTTCCTTCCGACCTGCTCCTATGCTTCAAAAGGCGCTCGTTCATATGTAGCTCACAGAATGGAGGCAGATGCGGTGATGTCTTAAGGTAGATGAGAGAGAAGAGAGACGAGAGGGTCTCATACCATTAAACATAATGTTACAACAGGCCCCGATACCCAAAGACCAGACCATCCCAGCCCAGTCATACGCGAACCCCCTCTTTTTTAGAACTCCTCTGAGGAGACCTATGTCGTCGCCCATAAAACGCCACCGCTATGAAGAACGACCAATCTATAATTACAAAACCATGTAGTCCCCCGGATTCGGGGTTGAGTAGGCGAGGGCGGCACCCATCCGTCCGACCGTTGGTCCCACGGTATCTTGTTTTACGTTCGTATGTTTTTTTCGTGCTTGTTGTTACATTTCCAGATTTCCAGACGCCGTGATGATGAAGGCTACTGTCAAGATGTCGTCTTCTCGAGCAGTTCCTTTGCCTCGTTGACCTTGGTTGCGAGGTACGGGCTACCGCCGCGATCGGGGTGGTTCAGGAGCATCAGGGTGCGGTGCTGCTTGCGGATCTTGTCGCGAGTGACGCCGCTCTCCCTAAGAACGCATTGTGTTAGATGTTGTTGCTTCTTTCTGACCCTTCCAGGTTGACATCGTCGTCCCGAGTGTCTCGCCAGGTTAACGTGCTTCGGGGGATTTCGTCGACTTACTGGAGGGAGAGAATGAGACAGGCCTCCTTCTTGTTCATCTTAGGCTCGAAGCCGCCCTTGTAGAAAGCCTTGCCCATCGCGCCAACGCCGCCGCGTGATCGGCGCCATGCGACCAGACCAGCTCGGCCCTGTAGGAACACTTGTGTTAGTCGTGGTCCTTCTTGAATGCGCTTTGTTTCTATCGTACCAAGAAAGCTGCGACGGCAGCGCCGCCTCCGATAGCAAGAACAGAAGCCATGATCGCTAGAATTTCGTGTCGTGTTTAGTCGATACGTCGTTGGAAGGTGGCGGATGACTGCGGAAAAAAGCGGATGAGGTATCGCGAAGAAGGTCTTCCGGGTCGGAGGAGAGCTTTTTTTTTTGGGCTGCAGTCGCCGCCGCTCACAGAGCAAGCCGCGATGCGCCGGTCTTGGTCCGTGCTGAGCCGTTTTTCGGAAGACCTATTGAACCGGTTCCGACAAGCCCAGCAGAGTGGAAGCTTCATGTGCATTATGTCAGCAGACCCCTGGGTTCCACCAATCCCGCTGCAATCTTATCGCAGCAAAGAACCACCTCAGTTCCCCCCAGCCCCACCATAATCGATAAGCGGTGCCTCGGAGCGGCAGAAGAAAAATTTCTAAAAAACTTTTGGAGAGCAGAGGCCTCGATCACCGCCTTCTGAACCCTCCCCGTGTGTGTGTTTGGAAGAGTCGTCGAAACCAACACCAACAACCCAACAACCGTGTGACTATTTACGTGATACCCGTGAAGGTATCAACGCCGTCACAATGAGGTATGCTCTTGTCTATTATTCCATTGTCATACAAGTCAACCTCTCAGTCCAAGATTGACCTGTAAACGATTTGGGTTTGCAAGCTTTCTAACTTCGTGATGCTTCTAGAATCGAGACGTGCTACTTTTGCAGTCGCCCTGCCTACCCCAGCAAGGGCATCACCTTTGTCCGCAATGACTCCAAGGTGTTCCGCTTCTGCCGCAGCAAGTGCCACAAGAACGTACGTCTCTAAGTTTTCTTCAACGACTTTTGCGAAGAACCCAACCCCTCCCCGTCGGCCAATGGACTAACCGCCCCTTGGCACCATAGTTCAAGATGAAGCGCAACCCCCGCAAGCTCAAGTGGACAAAGGCCTACCGCGCCTCGGCGCACAAGGAGATGACGGTCGACAGCACCCTCCAGTTCGGCGCGCGGCGCAACGTCCCCGTCCGCTACGACCGCGACCTCGTCGCCAAGACGCTCAAGGCCATGGAGCGCGTCTCCGAGATCCGCTCCCGCCGCGAGCGCGTCTTCTACAAGAAGCGCATGCAAGGCAAGCGCGAGCGCGAGATCGCCGCCGCGCGCAAGCTCGTCGCCGAGAACGAGCACCTGCTGCCCCGCATGCGCGGCTCCGAGAAGAAGAGGCTGGCCGCCGAGGGCGCCACCGAGGAGGAGATCGCCGCGCTCGAGGCCGAGGGACGCCTGGCCAAGAGCAAGGCCGGCAAGGTGTTTGGTCGCGAGAAGATCCGCCAGCGGGTCACCGTCGACGGCGACGTTGTCGAGGAGCGCGAGGGCGGCGTCATGCAGGAGGACGACGGCGAGTGGGACGACGAGGATGCGGAGGAGGACGACGATGACGAGGATGGCGATGTCGACATGGAGGATTGAGCGTGACGACGACAACGACGAAGAGGGACGTTTTTGTCACGTCTTTCTTTTTACGAACCGACCAAAAGGAGGAAGGGGGATCCCCCATCCCATCGAGGGATAGGAGAAGATGGAGGGAAAAGCCAACCGACCGGGGGAAGAGAAAGAAAGACAAGCTGCTAACCGAATCGAAGAATGGGCCTCTCTCTTCTCTCCGCTCTCCTTTAGCAGAGACAAGAGTTGGTTTTGGGGGGGCTTTGTTTTTATACACGGGCGTTCAAGGATACAAAAGGGCTATTTAGCATCGACGGCGTTTGGTGGCTCTGAGAAGGAATACCACAAAAAGTTATCCACGGTCCAGATTGATCCAGATCGGTTCCTCCGTCATCTCAGTCGCCACCTTTCCTCCCGTCTTGTGGATGCGATGCCGTATCCTCTCAGCCTGCGTTGTCTGGTATAACCATCCGGATGCGTTCCGCAATCTCGAGGGTATCCGACACTGTCTGGAGTGAATAACGGCATGCCAACAGAAATGCGTGCCATCACATTGTCGCATCCCCCTTTCTCAGAACAAAGGAGCAGGCGAAATAGACATGGCGAATTCAAGCTAACAAACTGTCAAACCTCCTACATGCTCTCAAAAATTGCAAGTGAAATCGCCCAAGACGAGCGTCGCGGGTATCAATGCCTCTTGAAATGTTGTACAAACGAAACCACCCTAACTCCAGGTATCCCACAATCCCATGACCGGGCAACGTACACACCGCTCTGGGGTCGCCAAACTCCTCAAGCACCCTCCTCTTCCTTCTTGGTAGTATGGTGAAAAGCCTTAGGCGGCATGGGCAAACCGGCCTCGACGTCCTCAATAATCTTCTTCTCGAGCGCCTCCTTGCGCTTCACCTCCTCCTCCTCGCTCGCCTCGGCGCCAGGCACGACGCCTCCCGTATAATTGCCGGCGCCGCCGCGACCAGAAGCACCCCTCGCCGCCGACCGCGCGATGCTGGCATTCACGGCCGCTTGTGTCTTGCTCGCGAGCTCCTCTTGCTGCTTGGTGCCGGGGAGAGAGGTCGGGTCCACGTAGTTGCCCGAGCCTCCTCGTCCCGCGCGCACGTAGCCGGTCGAGGTCGGTGATGTCGAGGAAGCGGCGACGTCGGTTGACTTTTGGGCCTCAATGTCCTGTTTGCCGTGGAGCATTTTGGGTTAGCTACGAACTGCTCTTAGAGGGTAGGCCGTCTCGCGTGTTACCTCTGGCTTGGCCTTTTCAGCATCGTCCACATCCTTCTTTGAAAAGAAGTTCCCTGAGCCTCCCCTCCCTACTTTACGGAATACATCGGACATGGTCGTTGCGACGGGGGATCCTCGAGCTTGGTGCTGCGGGCGAAATGGGATTGCGATGCGGCTGGGTCTGGCGGGATACTGTAGAAAGTTCGGAGCAATCTGGGAGACGACTACCGCAAAAGAACGGGTACGAAACAGTCGAAAACGTGCAATGAACAAGATAAAAATGCGTTAAAGAGATCAAAAAAATGCTGCCTGGTATCTCTGGGCAATTGGTTCAATAAGAAAAAGTGACGTTCAGTTTTGGTGTAATTGGCACTCCCTATCGGCTAGCCACTTGCATAGTGTGGCGCCGCGGGGTTAATCAAAAGCTGCGTGGGATGGGCCACTTTATCAAGTGTACCTACGCAGTCGGGCTTCCGAGAGACGGGAATTCATTCCAGTTTATCGACAACAGACATTCCTGAACACAAGGTTGCTGAGCGCCGGTTGCCCCGAGTCTTCAGAGAAAAGCAAAATTATGTTTCTCGTATGGCTCCCTTTATGGCAATATATTTCCTCCTCGGGACAATACGCGTGCGGCTCAGCAAGGCCCAAGACAGCTCACGCAACGCAGCACTCGCTTGTCGATCGCTGCATCCGGACATGAACTGCCCTTCATTCATCCTGGATCTTCCATGTGCTGCTGTCAAGGGATAATTCTGCTCGGCTTCGGACAGGTTTAGAGAGAGATCGACAGGTACGTCGACCAGGACCCATGACTTCCTATAGTCTTCAATAATAGCAGTGCCTTGCAAAGATTTCTTTGACGCATTTTCATCGTCGGGACCGAGAGGAGTGCTCTGCGAGATCCCAAGCTGTCAGCTATTCCCGAAAGGTGGCTGCTGCGAGACTTTCCCATTGCAGCTCTCGCGATGAGCTCTACCACCTTAGCCAGTCCAAGGGTCCAACCCCCCTCTCTCCAGTCTCTTTGTATGAAGGGGGAGCGGAACGCACGGGAGCGGTAGCACCAAAAAAACCTTCTCCCGATCCCCGATGAACCTTCCCTACGGTTCGGCGCTTCTCTATTAATACATAGAGAAAAGAGGTCCAACACAAGGAAATAGCATCACCCCACGTGGAATGCCTTTGCTGACGCAGGTACGCTGGAAGGACTGGTAAAAGCAAAACCACAAACGCTTTGCCTAGGGATGTCGTGGGCGTCCCTCACACGTCTTCCCAATGAGAGGTAAAGAGGCCCCCATTTCTATCTCAGAGAAAGATACATGACAGTACGAAAGTGTACCTGTGTGGTATCCACTCTCGTAGACAGGGTTTTTGATAGCGACACGCATCCGACGGAGACTGGAGGGGTGATGTGCAGCTGCAGCAAGAGGGGCGAGTTGGCCAGACGCGTTGATCATCCTAGTCCATTTGTGAAAGTGGCATCCACCGGTGTCTCCGCTGTTCTTCTGTTCTCGTCGTGACAGCGCGCGGGGATGACAACGTAGCAGATACCATGCTGGACCGTTTCCGAGAGGAGCTGAGGTGATAAATCTTAGGCATCCGTAACTTGGTGGAAAGATAGGAAAAAGGCGAATTCCCATACTCACGTAAGACAGTAAGATGAGGCGCAGCACAACTCTGTCCTTTTTCGTTACGCTCAGTCCTATGACCCGTGCAAACAGGCATCTGCTTGTTCCGTGTCTCGATTCTCTCAAGGCGCGAGGTCGGCCGCGAAGCTGTCACTTCACCTGGTAAACCTTATCTCCCTCGCGTGCAGGGTTGCGCCTTTTCAGAGAGTCCGCCGGCACAACCGTTTTGTGAAATTGTGCGGCCGGCGACGATCGGCGGGGGTTGTTGCCTCGATGGGAGAGCTTTTATGCATGGAGAAACCAGCTTCGGGATGGCATGGCACTGCTCAGAGAGTGAGGGGTGCAGCTGCAATGGAACAGGGCAGGACCCTGGCACACTTGTCTCGACTGCCCTACTGCCGTGCTGCTGAAGTTTTGGGAGCAATCGACGATTTGGCCCGGTGGCTCCCTTTCAACCCGCTCGATGTGCTAGGACAACCCTGTAACAGTGAGAGGCCGAAGTGTGATAAAGTTGGCGATCGACAACACGTTGACAGTTTCGCGGTGGAGTTGCCATTGGGGCGTTGCCCTTAGTGTGCTTTTGTTTTGCGCAAACCAGCTTCAGAGTCTGGAAAAAAAATACGGAGTAGTCGGAGTGTGCGCCGATGCGCTTGAATCCTGTGATTTGTCGAGGGACAATGTTGGGAGAATGCTTAGTCGTACCTGGTCGTCTTGTGGAAACCCTTTGTCGATCACGGATCATGGGTATAGGGCACGACGAGCTGATGCCAACGTGGTTCTTGCGTTAATCAGACGCGGATGAAGTCGACCTCGAAATGCGACCATGAACAATTGCCCTCTCCAGTCGGCGGCTAACAAGGCATCCCCGTACTGTGTCTGTTGTAGAATATGGAGGCCATGCCTACTCAGTCTACTCGGAAACCATTTTGCATGTGTTACACAGCATTGTTAGCTGCCGTCGATAATTGGCTGGACCGTTGAACAATGTTTCTTCCATTTCGATGTCTCTCAGCGCAACGACAACATGGCCAGCGCTTCCGAGAGCCTTGCCAGACGCAAGCTTGCGTTGACCTCTTAAGTAATTTGGCACCGGCCAAAGCCAGCTTTCAGTGACGTCCAATTCAAGGTAGTCGAGTCTCACTAGTTGTGCTCTCTACTCTCCTAGACACTGGTTGCAGTTCCTTTGGTTTAGTTGGCCACCTCCAATGGTAGCGGGCGTAAAAACCGGTGAAGGGGTTTGAGACTGTCAAAGAATCAAGACGTGAAGCATAGGCGGGAGGCTGGCCTAGAGGCGTGCAGCCCGCTGGCGTTACGGGAGATTCCAGAGTCCCAAGTCGATGCCACAAAGGCAGGTTTGTGGTCTCTTTTTTTCCTGAGACAAGAGCGTCGACGTTGGGGAAAGACCGGAGACATAGGTACCAACGGCAGAAACCGAGAAGACATTTTGCATGCGTTCAAAGCGTCACTTTTAGTGACTGAAACTCTGGTCACCCAGGTCTGGGCTTGAACAGCTGCGCCCAGTGACGTACCAGTTGCATAGTGAACTTAGGTAATGCCTATGAAGGCGAGGTTGGCTCTATCCAAGATTCGGGCAGAGCGTGCGTCGTGTCTTTCTCGCGTGCGGTGTGGCTTGGCCATCTCCGGACATTGGCGAGTAGATTGATGTTGGAGGACATCTCCGCTGACGATCTTGGGACTGCGTTACCAATGCCTAGCCCAGGCTGAGCGATGGCATCCAGGAAACAATAGTGTCAAGTGGCAAAGGCATCCCATTCTGATTCTGGCCGGTGAGAGGCAAGAGTAGGTAGCATAAGCGATGGTCTGCGTCGGGGAGCGCAATAATGATGGGGTGGACGACGTTCCGCCAGAGGCACGAGAATCCACCCGACTTGCCCAGAGCAGAAGCCCGCATGGCGCCCGATGGAGGAGGGGAGGGGGCCAGCTGACCGTCCCGAATGGCAATGGCGGCCCCCTAGCACGGCGTGAGGGAGACGGAGACGAGACCGGACCCAGGACTGACCGTCTGACCGATATCCTGGCCAACAGCTGGACTCTATCAGATTCCAGCGGATTGCCGGTCAGCGGAAGGTCTGGAGAGCAAGAGAGCTGTGAAGAGACGGCCGACGGCGAAGGGTAAACTGCTGGTTCCGTACTGAGGACAGCGTAGTAGGCCGGGCCGGAAAGTAAAGTTGTTTGATCGGGTTCGCGTTGCTCCCATGCCGCCTCAGTCAACTTCAGGCCAGGTAGACCGACCGTCTCAGCGAACAAGTCCTGTGATTAGTGGTCACTAGGAGGGGCCTGTACCGGTATCTGGTCAGAAGGTGGTGGAGGAGGTAAGCTGGTGGTGGGGAAGCCCCAGGCGTGTGGTTGTGATGTCCGGCTCTGGGGCGGATGATTGGGAGGACGTTTCGCTGGGGTGTCTGGTTAGTGTGGAGCAAGATGAAAGAGGACGAAGAAGACAAGGAGTCGAGAGGGGGAAGGGAGGAGTGGACAGGGGATGGGGGTGGTGTTATCGTCAACCTACTATGTGTGGTAAAGTACGGTAGACCGTAGTGGTGGTGGTGGTGGTGGTGGACTGGTGGTGGCTCTCCATCGTCGCAATCCGTTGATGGTTGTAGCACGTCTCCAAAACGGACACGAGAGCTTGAACGGCACACGGTGTAGGGCTTTGTTTGTCCGATGTTCTGCCTGTCGTTTCCCATCTGCTTTGGCCGTGGCCCTCTACGTCCTTCTACGGATGGAAGCTGCAGATGTTGCCCCTGAGTTGACAAAGAATTGAACTCATGTTTGGTCCGCGCTCGGAGCAAACTACGTCACTGGTTGAGATACGGGTGGATTGGGACTTCCCCAGGAACGTGACTGACCAGGGCACTGTCCCCACTGTGTATTTGTCACAGAATTGTGCAGACAGTCAGACAGTGTACGACGAGTTGTCACTGTCCAAGGAGCACATAGAAATACGTGCCTTCCCTTGCCCGGGGATTAGATGGTGCTTACCTAAGGTAGCGCCTGCCGAGCCTGCACTGTGTACCTGCGTTGTTTCTCAGCACCAACAGGAGGGAAGTTCGTACCTGCCTCGCACCCAACGACTTGTCAACCCAACAACGCCGTCGAAGAGCTGTATCCTGCTTGGCTTCCGTGTGATCAACGATCAGCAGAACCGTCCATCGGGGATTTTCTTTATTTCGGATTCTTCATCGTTTCTTTTCCCGTATCTCTTGTATCTGTACTTGCTATTACTCGAGAGTCCTTGCTCCTCGCACTTCTCTGAGCCGACTACCGGTAGCCATGCAGATCCAATCAAGAAACAACAGGTTTACGATAACGTCGCCTTTTTCGAAGAAAGAAGAAAACGAAACAACGGTTGTGAAGCACAGAGTGCTCAAACCAAAGTGCCAAATCACAGCCAAGGCACACAAGTCGGCAATTGCAGAAAGACTAGGAGGCACCCACCCGAGTTTCAATAAGACATCTTTCCCATGCCTTTTTGCGCAATGCCTACTCCGTACCTTGCCTCCTTGCTTCTTCCCACTTTTGCAGCTTACCATAGACACTCACCACCTACTGAGTATCATGTACTAAGGTTCTCGCGCAGTGCTTCCCAAGCTTGGGTTTCTGCCGTTGACAACCCCCTCACGGTCTCGCTCATTCGACCAACGCACAGCGCATTGCGCACAGCTCATACAGCTCACAACCTTGAAGCTCGCACAACACGACTTTGGCATGACCTGGCATAGCAGCAATGCAAAGCTACTGCCCTCTCCCCCGCGTGCGAACTTCCGTTCCTGATCCGATGGAAACCACCTTCTCCAGTTAAACGAGACCAGACGCGGCCAATGCTCTTTCTCTCTCTTTCTCTCCGCCCCAACGCCCCAACCTGATGCTCACTGCTCCAGCCTCCAGCTCTATGGCCCGGGAGCAGTCGCCTGTCCTCCCGCCTGCCTACCTCGATGGAGCCACCACGTTAGGGGAGCAGAGCCGTCGTGGGGTGCGACCCAACGCTGAACCTGGCAATCCGCCGAAACATGCCACTTGCGGTCGATAGGCCTCTCGCTTCCGACCAAGACACGACATTCTTTACAACTCATTGGAGCCTGTATGTTGTCTCAATCATTCCACATCGTTACCTCGCGAACAGAAGACCCCAAGAAGGAGAGAAGCAGAAAAAATAAAAAAATAAAAAAAAGATTTAGCGGTCACCAGACTAGCAAGGTCCCGACAAGTCTTCAGACGACTACGAAGTATCCGTACGGGATCAAGGGCACCAGACAATCAGAGAAATAATTAGGCACTCGAGCCAAACTAAGCCACCCTGTTCTACCTCAGCTAGGGACCAAGGCACGAGTCCACCTGTGTTGGTGTACGGGCGAGGCGTTTACCAACAAAGGCCGCGTTTCTTTGAGCGTCTCTCTTGTTGGCTTAGTCGTTTGGCATAGATCCTGGGGCAGAAATACTCCCATATCACACACACATCCACCGTATATCGTCATGTCCGCGCTTATTTTGAGAATCCGGATCATCCAACTTCAGAGAGCATCGTGAACAACCGACGAGCGGCAACGACATCTGGGAGCACTCAAGAGTCGAGAATAAAAGTGCCATACATAAAATTGCTATTTACGATGTGCAACTCAAGCACGCTATCGGCCCTGGCCAGCAATGGGTCTGGGCTCTGGGACGAAGGACGAGGGTAATGGGTTACTGGGATGGATCCATGGGCTCCGCCCACCCCTCCCCCAGTGACCTTTCCCCGCCGCACCGGCGCCTTATGGACACGTCCATCGCTCGGGAGGCCGACCATCGCTCGCCCATTGCCAAAGGACGACCACGGGCCATGCTCTATGCTCCTTGTTCCTGGCGCCCGTCCGCTGCGCTCACGGTCATGTCCACTTGCACCTCCCACCACCTGAGAGGTACATGCCAGCGTACCTTGGCCCGGTTGCACACTGTGGGTCACGGGGAAGGGGACAAGAAAGGAGTGGAGGTGGAAAGATACCTACAGTACAGCAGAGACGGCGATGCAGAGAGAAAGAGGGAGAGACGGAGAGAGAGGGTCAGCCAGCCAGTCAGTCCCCTTCCCTCGTCCATGAACCCAGCCGCGCACCTCACCCTCACTTCCAACGCCAAAGTCTACACCCCCTTTCCCTCTCTCAGCACACACCCAGCCCCACCCATCCTCTCTTCTTTCTCTCTCCTCTGCCGCTTTCTCCTTCTTTCCCGCCCAGCGTCGTCGCTCTCTGCGCTCTGCGAGTTCAAGGTGTGAGGGGGAGTGTCGTGAGTGTGTGAGTCTGGTCCTCCTGCTGCGGTACGGTCTTCTGCCCCTCCCCTCCCTCCTCCTTCTGGCTCCTTCATCCTAGCGACCTGGTGGTGCAATACGACCAATGAAGGCTAATGCTCGTCCCCGACCAGCGCTTCTCTTCCATTTCTTTCTGGCAACTTGTTGGAAAGGGCCGTCTGGACTGTTTCGCCCATTGCTGGACTTTTTGGATCCTCTTCCAAACGTACTCTGTCTCGAGCCCACAACTTTTTCTCTCTCACTTCAGCTACACCTCGATTCAAAGCACAGCATTCAAGCGGAAGGGTAAAGAGAGAGAAAAAAGTTGAATCCGGCCTGGACCTCGACAGCCCTGTTGATCATCAGTCGACTAACCCCAAGGCATCCTGACCGTTCAAACACCACCACCACCACTACACTCACCACATGCTGTCGGCTGGTCCAGCTCGGAGCTACTAGGTACACCCGCCCACAGACACACCCCTGCCGAATTGCTGCTCCTCCCCAAAATAATATTATTTCTCGCCCGGAGGCTTGTCTTTGCGACTCACTTTCTACCTGTCCATCTGCCTACCACCGTCGAACAACAACACACGATACCGCCGCGTCTACGAATCACTTCACTTTCACAATACTCTAGCCAGGGACAAAGTGTTCGACACTCGTTGTCGAACCTGTTTAGCATCGGTAGTTGGCAATGGCCTCTTCAAAGGTATGCCCGGAATCGGGATTCCAACCCATGCCCTGCCCTGCTTAGCTCGCTCCCAACACGCATCTCAACCCAGTCTTGCTGATCACTTCGTCCTCGTTCAGGAAATGCAGCAGACCACAAGGCCATTGAACCAACACCGTCCCTCTCTATCAACTGCTTCCTCTTCCGGCCTTACCACGCGACAATCCCACTCTCGCACCAACTCCCATTCCATCCTCAGCGGCGCTCTCAATGCCAACCACCGTGTGACTCGCCGCAAGTCCATGACAAACACCGCCGCGAACGCGGCGGCCATGGCAGCGGCAATCAAGGAAGTGAGCGGCGACAAAGTCACGCCCATTGCCGTCAGCTCTCGTAGGAACACTGCCTCGAAGAGTGCTGCAGCCCGCGCCGCCATCATCGGGAGTCTTCCCTCGCCTCCAGCGAGTCTGCCGACGCACAAATTTCACTTGGACGGAAAGACAGAGATCCACGAGAGCGCCATTGAGGATGACCCAGTTAACGGGTCAGCCGACGAAGGCGATGATAATGCTCAAAAGGCTCGTATTCGGCGCGCCAGCGATGGTCAGCCTCTCGTAAAGGAGGGCAGGAAGTTCAACCGCATCGAGCTCAAGTGCGAGACGTGCGGAAAGGGATACAAGCACAGCAGTTGCCTGACCAAGCATTTGTTCGTTTCCCTTCCCCTTTCTCAATTCCCTCATTCCATCCCAAACCTTGTTGCGTGGGTTTCGAGAATTGCATGCTGGGTTCCCAATATCAGAACTAGTCGAGCAGTTTGTTGACTCATTTCTGATCAGGTGGGAACACACTCCCGAATGGTCCCTGACATCCAAGCTGCTTATTTCTAAGCATCAGCAAGTCCAGCTCCTTGAGGCTGCCTCTGTCTTGTTGACCATGAACCACAAGGAGGAGGGTGGTGATGCGGCGACGCCCCCGGATTCCGCCAAGGATTTCCCTAGTGACCAAGAAGAGTCGACTTCTCCCGCTGCTTCTGGATATTCAGACGAGCGACACAGCTCTGCCGACACCACCCCGCCTCCTCAATTGGAGGGATTTTCGTCGTCGGATCGTTCGTTCGCGAAGCGGTACGGGTCCGGAAGCGGATTCGGTCGTTCATACCAGTCTGCGCCGTCCATCAACCCTCTCGTGACAGGCAGCATGCCCCGTGGAACAGGATTTTCTTCACACTTCCGTCAAACCAGCCAGGATCAACGACCGCCGTCGTCAGGGAGAAATGCCACCGGACAAGAAGATCAGGATTTGGCAGCCGCTGTGGAACTTCTTAGTTGCAGCTTCAACAGCAACAACGGAAGAACAGTGCAGCTTCCAGCAGACGCTCCTCCTGTGCCCCCGCTACCGGCGCAATATCTCGACCAGGCGGCATCCTTCTCGAGTGCTGGGTTCAGCGCAGGTTTCAGCGCTGGATTCCTCAACAGCTTCCCTAGCAGGCAGCCAGAGAGCTTCACACGAGGCGAGGTCCGCGGCTCCGATGTCAAGATGGAAGACAGCGATAGCGTGATGGACGACGATGACTTTGACCGCCGATCTCGATCCCGAAGCGACGAAGATGACGACGGCGTCTTCGGACGTATGGAGGAATAGCGAAACTCCGTTCCACGATTGATGCCGACGATATCTGAGGAGATGAGTACATAACGAAGAGGGAAAATGAGGGGAGGATGTGTTTCTTTTGTACCACCATATACTAAACCCTGTAAATGAGGTGGTTCTGTCTCCGCCGCCGATCTCTCAGCACCAAGGAGTGGAGGGCCCGGTCTTGCATCATGATCTGGCCCAGCAAGGCAGGTCGATAGGATGGGATCGAGATTGCAACTCCACGAGGTTAAAGTGAGAGACGGAGAGGGCGTCGAGCGAATGCCCAAAGCTGTCACGCTGATGGTTCTGACGAGACAAACGAGTGCGATGCCCCAAGATTGGCCGCGACGCTCAGTGTTCGGTATGGAACCAGCATAACGAAATGAAATGAAAAAGATTAAAAAGTTCAAGAAAAAGATCCTGGTTGATTTTCGCCGGTGGTGACCTGTGTGACCTCTTGTCTGGATGAATAAGAGAACTCTTGATCGCGACGAGGCACTCGGGCTTGGAGCGTGGCTAATGTTTACCAACGATGATGGCTGAAGTGACGAGGCAAGCTGGATGGTGGTTGGTGTGTTGGAACGCCAGCAGCAACCTTAAACCAGGCACACCCGGAGCTTCGCTCCCGAAAGGCGAAGATTTGCATGTGAGCTCATCAAGCTTTGAAGATCACACAGACAAGACAGACACCAAGCAAAGCAGACGGGGAGGCAAAGATAAGGTAAGGCCAATTTTTGACAAGAGTACAGATGGCATCCTCCTTCCCAAGGCTTGGAAAGCTTTGGGGGTCGGAGGTTCGCATGTATTAAATATTTCTAGAGCGGAAGGGGATGATGGAGAAACTTTATTCGAAAAGAAGAAAATGAAAACAAAGAGAGGGAAAGAAGAGGGAAAAACCGATGGAGGAAAAAAGTCTGCAATTACGGATCATGGACGGAGCCAGTAGAAAATATCTATCCTTGGGAGCCCGCTCACAGTGGAGTTTTCCCGCTTCGCTGGGCGGGCTGCTGAGGCACGGCGGCGGTTGTTTGGTGGCCGGCGGTGTGGGGAAGGAAGGTATAGACCGCAGTAGGACTCGAGAGTTGAGAGAAGGAGGACCCGTTGCTGGCTCTTTCCGGTTGGGTTTTGCCCACTATTGGACCACACAGCTTACCTCACCACCTTCCGCGAGCTGCTGTTACCCCAGCGACGTCACCTTTACCCGTCCGGACAGCTTCCTTCTCCACTCGGCATCATAGGTAGGCCACTGTCCACAATCCACAGCAGCTGCCCTGGGCGGAAAAAACGTACAGGTCTCACTTTTTCTTTCCTCTTTGCCCTCGTTGATCTCATCGTGTCGCAAACCGCACATCGCAAACGGCTGCTGCTGCTCATTTCTCCCACAGCCTCACTACCTTCTTTTTTCTCGCTCTACCCCTCTCTTACGTCTGCAGCGCGCATCGCCAATCCCGAATTCGAGGTTCTTCGCTACGAACGTGACACGTTGTCTCTTCAATCAATACTCACACGCGCAAGCACAGTATACCCAAGATGCCCACGTTAAGACGCAGAAGAGAGGCATCGCGCCCCGTCGAGGAGCCCGAGGTCGACGAAACGACGTCCAACGCGATCGAACCCATCGCAAGCCACCTCGAGAGGCTCGATACCGCGCCTGACGGCACAATCGAAGCTCTAGCTGTTGTCAACGACGCGACACAGGTAGCGGAAGCAAAAGAGATAGAGGCACTCCAAATTAGCGAGAGAGATCGCGATCACCAGCACCCGCGGAAGCAGCGATCGCACCTCCCGAAAGCGCTGCAGTTCCCGCTTGTTACGGTGTTGAGCTTCAGCATCTCAAGTCTGTGCTACAGCTTTCTCAGCGAGTGGAGCCGTGGAGAGCTGGCGGGGATTTCAAAGAGCTTGGACACCTGGGGCGAGGTTGCAACTTTGGCTGGATGGCGCATGTGAGTTACCTTGGGAATCACAGAGATGATCTTCCTGGGAGGATCGCTCGAGGACCGGGCAGGAAAAGGTATCTTTGCTGACAATCGCGATCTCGTGTAGATTCGAGCTTGCCCTTGGCTGGTTCGGCAATTTCGATAGCTACGATCTCGCTGCGCTCAACCTGCTCGCGCATGGTCCGCCGGTACGTTCTGCTCCGACGAGGAATGATGATGACGCCAGGCTTGGGACAGTCAACTGTGCAGCTTTTGCTAACACGCATTTTGCGTCAAGGTCTACCTTATCGCTACCTTCTACAACATCAGCACCGCCACCGCCATCTCGGCTCTGGGCATTGAGATGCTGTCTACCTTCCTGCCCTTCCAACTCCTGAGGCCTTTGTCGGGCGCGCATGCCGGCGCTAAGAACGTCGCCAACCGCGAGATTCTCACCGACATCCCGATTCAGATCTACACCACTATCCTGTCGGCAGCCATTTACAGCCTCACCCTGTTTACTGCTTACAAGACTTACCTGCCCACCACCCTCGTGGTCTACTTCCAAGGGCTGCCGAGCCTTGCGCCCGCCTACACCACCAACTTCCTGGCTACGTTGCCCGTGACAGTTGCATTTGGCGTTGCGGCAAAGTCCTTCATCTTCACGCCCTTTGTCGCGACTGGCGAGACTTCCGAAGACGAGAAGCTGGCCGAATTCGACCCTGCGACGGCCACGCTTGGCGAAACTCTGGCGTGGAACATTTGGGGCTACACGACGCGGGCGAAGGTGGTCATCCTGCGAACCGCGGTCGCCATGATCGTCACGGGTGTCAACACCTACCTGCAGACTTTCATGACCGTCAACGGCGTCGAGTCGTATGGTGCGACTGCTTACTCCGGCGCCTGGGTCGCCGCGGCATTCTTCACCGGTATCGGTCTTGCATTCGTCGGTGGTGGAGACTCATGAGCGGGGATTGGGGGATGTATACCTTGCTTTGCCTCGTGACCAAGGCAAATTCTACCTTGGCGAGGCGGACAGCAGATGCTGACTGTCTAAGAAGAGGAGTTTTGGGGCTTTTCGAGGCCAAGGGTGGTCTCTCTCTTTTTTGTGTTGCTATTCGGGGAACTTTGCGCAGCTTTGGAAAGGAAGGGGAAGTTGCTTGCTTGGAGGGGCGATGATGCACATCAAAAGGTTGTTGCTGAAGCTGCCTTGCCCAGTGATCCATCCAAGTCGATGTATACCAATCTTTTCTTGCGTCGTCTCTTTTCTTTGTCTATGTCTCGAGTAGTGTATACATCGCGTTTGGTCTTCCTGTTCTTCGTGCGTCTTATCTGTCTGGCAGCTTCGTATTAGCCCGTGACACTGAAGTTACCCGGGCCGAGACTTTTGTCAAGACAACATATCGCAAGCCAATATCGCAGGGAGGTTTGGGCCGAGAATCAGTGACGTGATGATTTTCGCAATTGTTCAATTTTGCCTAAATATGGCATGCATACGTTCTACACTCGTGACCCTAGTACACCACACTTTGAACAAGGAAGAAACCCCGCGTTCCTTCCCCCCCTTGCCAGAAAGTCAGCCTCGCCTGGACAATAGAGTCGAGGGACTAGTCCCAATCAATCGGCTTCGTGCAGGAAGCTAGCGGAATTTGTTTCGTTTGGTTGTCTTGGATTATTTGGGACGAATACAGGGGAGAAGGGGAAGGAAGGGGAGAGAGAGGCTGTCTGATGTCTCTGGTGAGTGGCCAGGTCAGCCGACGTAGGGCTGAAAAGGTGGGGAGGTAGGAATGACGGAGGAGGTTTCGGTCAGGGGAAAAAAGCAGGATATTGGATTTTTTTTGGATTACCAATGCGGACTCGGTGAACCTGACGCTCAGGACTTGTTGAGCTGGGGATGTTTGAGCTTAGATTTGGTGCCTTTTGGTGATGTGATTCTCCAGCTTGATAGGGACTACCTTCTTGTTGTACCTATGCGCGGCTGATTGATGTTTTTTTACCCTGGAGCTGGGCAAGCCTGACAAGTGGGTGACGAGATAGAATACCAGTCAACAAAAGAATACAATACTTACTAGCCACGGCTTATTTATCATTCCCAGCTATCTTATTCTTCCTTCTTATCCTTTTTATCTATATTTCTGTTATTACTTATGTCTTTTATATATTCACCAGTGAATACCCTTCGAAAAGCACAGAAATAAGATCAGCAGGAAAAGAGCTAGGGTTCATGGAGCGGCGAACGACTGTGTTACCTACTTTGCTGGGCTACGGAACATACGGGGGGAGGACACGAGTTCCAGGACATGGCAACATTGACAATTGTAAAAGAGTTGACTTAAGTGAGGCGGACTAATAATATGCAAGCCTCGAGCAGAGCGCGGCGCAAGATGCAGGCGCAGGGGTTGTTGTACTCGTAGGTTGCAGTTGCAGGTCTAGATGCAGGCAGGGTGGATAATATGTAGAGGAGGATTTCCAGGTTCCTGGATTGAGGTGTTGGGTGTACCGTGTCACGGTATCGGTAATGGAAATTGACGTGCAATACCTTACTCCGTATCCCTCCCGCTCGGAGCTTGGGCTTGAAGACTCTCATCCCATGGACATCCATGACCATCTCTGTCTGGATTTTTCCTGATTGAGATGATTTGCGCTGGGGCTATGGGCTAGTTGGGTTTGGCGAACCATACCGAGAGGATTATCGACCAGGGTTTATGCCGCCTCTTGTTTTCCTTGGGATGCCTACCAAGATGGGATGGATCATGGGGTACGGAGTATTCGTTCCCAAGGCAGTTTTCGGTCACTTTTTCTTCTTGCTTTTTCTTTATCGGGGTGGAGGAGAGGGGGGGCGGCGCGGCGAGCAAACGGGTGACGGGCTTGCGGGATTCAAGTGAGACAGTGAGACATTGAATGAAGTCTTTGTTTTTTTCTTGCCTTTTTCCTCGACTACCTTGCGCTCGCCCGCGGCACATTGAATCTGCACGTAATGTGGAATTTTGTACGTGCCATTGAGGCTGCTGCTGCTGCTGCTGCTGCTGCTGCTGCCGCTGCACGCCGCGCCTAAGGTAAGGTAGATCAGGGCTTGCGGTCGGATTTGCTTTGTCGCCCGGACGCAGGGCGGCGGCGGCAGGGCGGCAGGATATCCATCAACTTTTTTTTGCCGTGCGTGTATTGTACCGTAGCATTGCGGCTGGAGCTGGAAGCTGGAAGCTGGCCAGCTGGGGCAAATAGGCAATGAATCACCGACATTGTTAGGCTGCCGCGCCAGGACGACGACGTCAAAAGAGATTTGGGAAATATTGCACCTACCTACCTACCTGACTAATATGCCGTGCGCACTTGAACGCGGCTGTTCGGGTCATGGGTGTGGGGGTTGGGCTTTTGGGATTGGGGGGGTGGTAACTCCGGGACTGGGGATTTACCGGGAAAACGACGATCAGTAGATCAGCTCTTGGAATTATATCACTTTTTGAGCAGGGGGTAGGTGGGAGACACGGGAGATGGAGTTTGCCGACCTATCCTATGTAGGGCGAAAAGGAGGAGGGAAGTGGGTGTTCAGGCACACCGCGGGGGAACATCGTCGTAGACAGACTCGTATCGTCCGCAATTTTGCTTCCTTGAGTGACGGTGGTGGACCGGGGGGGCAGGAACTCATACTTGCAGTTTTCCTTCAGCTTGTTCCGGTCGGACTCTTGATTGGGAAAGTGATGTTTCGATTTTTGTTCATGGAGCGAGCGGCTGAGGCTGGTCTCGTTTCTTTGCTTGTCTCCGGTGGGCAATTCTGCCCAGCGTGCCGGGCGGACGAAGCATGGTGGTGGTTGATCCAGTTGGAGAGGTAAGGTAGGTATGGAGAAGTCGGGGCAGCGTTTTGCTGTTCTGTCGATATATGATCTTCAACGGACCACCCATTTTTTCCGAGGAGTGTATATGGCATTTGGTATGTTACCGCCGAGCTTTTAGAGTTATTTTCACATATCCCCCTCAGTGGAGACCATTCACAGTCATCTTTTCGGGCTTTTTAGAGTCCCTTTTCACTGAGATATAAGACGGATCGATGGCTCCCAAGTCCAAGCAGTCGTCGAGGAAGGGCAAGGAAGCCGCTGCTGCTGCTACTACAGCCGCTCAATACGAATACTACGACGAGGTTTCTCCCGCTGGCACGACGGGTAGTTATTATGCCTCCTCGTCGACCACGGCTACGACCGGACCTAGTCCGCTGACGGAGTATGACGAGACGCCCGGTGCGGCACCGACGACAGCGGGGACGACTACGGCTGTCGTCCAGTCCAAGTCCATACGGAGCGAGGGCGAGATTGTGTTACAGGGCCCGCTCGAGGTCGCTGGTTCTGTGAAAGCTGGGGGGAACATCACGTTGAACGGGGACTTTGATGTGAGGGATAAGGTTGAGGCGTATGGCACGGTGGATGTCAATGGGAATTTGGTTTGTGAGTAAGTATATTTATCTTTCCTGAGAAACGAGCATGCGCAGAGATGGACCATTTGCTGATATCATGGTGTGAATAGTGGGAAGATAAAAGCATATGGTAATATTTCAGTGGTGGGGTACATGTCTATCGGGTAAGTTTTGTGTTGGGATATGCCGCAATACTCGAGAGAAGACGGCGCTGATACATGTAATGGCAGTGATAAGGTCAAGGGTTTCGGAAAGTTGAGGGTCATGGGAACGTGTGAGGTTAATGACCTCGAGATATATGGGAACACGACGATACACGGGTTCTTGTAAGTTAATCCATTTTTCTCCGAGAGGCGTAGGTTCTGATCTTGCGTTGTAGGAAATGCAAGAAAATGATCCTATATGGGTCCCTCACAATCGTGGGTCCAAATTCGGGCTACCACGTTGAAGAAGAAGAGAAGATTTGGGGAGCGATTATAAGTCGTGAAGAAGATACGAGTTGGTGAGGCTGTGAGATTTTACTCAGTCACAGAGATGAGCGAGAATGAGATCACTGCGAGGTCTTAGATGCCTCGAAACGGTGGTTCGGACGTCAGGGTGTAAGCTTGTCATTAGGCGTTTTATGAGACGGCGTTCGGTATTGGCGTTGACATGGAATGGCGGCATTGGTGGGAACACAGCTTGAGAGGCATTTTTTCTAATTATAGAAATGCAAATCCGGGATGGATTTTTTGATGATTAAACTTTTCTGCTCGTGCTTGCGCGCCAATGAAGACACCAGACTCCCTCTTGACCGTTGTGAAACCCTATTTTGACTTGTGGACCGTGGGGTAGAATCATGGCAAGAAAAAAACCTTCTCCTTGGCTTGTCTGGATCCCCTTGACTACTATTTCTATTCCTATTATTGATCTTTCTTCTCTTCTCTATTTATTCCATGAGTAATATATGTTAAAATGATAAGAAAGGGTAATGTAAGAGACAGCAGTAACGGGGCAAGAGGCGATGGAAAGTATGTTCGTATGTTGGGGCATTGGCTGGCATGTACACCCTCACATGGCCACAATGAGCGGCAAAAAACGAAATGAGACCGTATCGTGATAGGCGCTCAAGTAGACTGGCGATGCCAATGCCCTTGACGAGAAGATTTTCAGCCTCACAAAACTCGCTGGCATTGGCACGGTGATGTTCACGACTGGCCTTTGGGCTGATCCTGCTTCGTGTCGTAACTTGACTTCGCTAAGTCTACAATCTAATCCTCTGCCTCATTACTCATTCGTCCCAGGCGTTCCGCCAGCATCCCTTTTTGAGCTTCGATCACTTCTTCCAGGGTGACTTGCAGCGAGCCCGTATCTAGCTTCTTCTTTGTCCTGCCCGCCCGCTTGTAAGCGTTGCCTATGATGGTCTTGGCCAAAGTCTCAACATCTCGGCCACTGGCCCATCCCTTCGTCAGGCCAAGCTTCTTGAAAAGACGATAGACCGTCTCCAATTTGTCGTCATTTGCTCCTCTTGCTCCCATAATGTTGACCTTGAGCTTCGAGACCTCTTCTCTCAGATGCCTAAGACACGCGTGTGAGCTCATCGGCTGGAATACAATCTGTTCCGGGAATCTACTACGCAACCCAGGATTGACCTGAAGGAGAAAGTCCATCTCGACGGTATATCCTGCCAAGATTATAACCATGTTGTTTCTGTAGCGCACTTGGGTCATTGCATCGACTAGCTCGCCGATAGCCTCTACATGGAACTTGGAATCGTTGGCAAGTCGGTAGGCTTCGTCGATGAACAAGACCTTTCCGAGGCCAGTCTCGAGAGTGTTGAGGACTTTTGGTCCTGTTTCTCCCACGTGCTTTCCAACAAGATCACTGACCGAACAGGTCACAACCTCGTCCGTGGAAAGTAGGCCCATATCATAGTATAACCGCCCAACTTTTCGTGCGGTTGAAGTCTTACCAGTGCCTGGTGGCCCCTTGAAAATGAAGGACCAGGGGACGTGAGGTCTGGGGTCGATGTCGTAAAGCCGCATGCCAGCAACTAGGTGCTGATAGCCTTCAAATTGCTCAACGATCCTGTTGAACCCGACGAAGCCTTCAAAGAGCGTAGCGCGACTTTCTCCAGCTTGTGATTCTCGGTCCCAGTGCGGATCGATGTCGCTAGGCTCTATGACAACATCTACAGACCCTGATTCGCGGGATGCGGACGTGATTCGTGCGTTGATGCGGACCTTTGCCTGGTTGAGTAGATTCTCAACGTCGCCCGCGTTCCCAAACTTTGGGTTGATACGCATGCGGCTCAGGACTTGTCTAGACACTGCCGCAGCGTCCTTTGACATCTGGAGTCCACTTTTGTCTACTTCCAGATCCATGATCTGGCAAAGCTCATCCTCGCTGTAGGCGTCGAATCGCAAGGCAGTATCCTTGGGAAAGCGTCGCTGGAGCCCAGGGTTACTGTTGTTGAACAGTTGGCCCATTTCATGGTCGTAGCCAACCAGGATGATGCACCTGTCCTCTGGTTCGGCGGACACATTCGCGACGATAGTGTCAAGGACAGCGATGCGAAAGACGTCCGTCTTGTGGCCGGCATCCTGGGCTCCGGGATAGAGCATATGTGCATCATCAATGATCAGCACATTCCCTCGGGCTTCCTTCAAGACGTCCATTGTCTTCATCTCGGAATGCCCTATGTAGGCGCCGATCAAGTGGGATGGGTTTCGCAACATGATTTTCTTTCCAGAGACGAGACCGAGATCAATGAGGATCTGGCCGTAAAGCTGCGCAACCGTCGTTTTACCTACGCCAGGCGGTCCGAGAAACACTCGGTTAAGACCAATCTTGAGAGGTTCCATCCCTTGCAGCTCTCGGCGGTAGTTGATCTGGGCATAGTCGATGATGTCGCCGCATTCGCTCTTGACCTTTTCGAGCCCAATCATATCCTGAAGCTTTTTCCACGGCTCGTTGTCATTTCGCAGATCCTTCGGCTCAGTACCTAAAAGGTCCTCTGACTTGAGGACCTTTTTCTGGCCATTTATCGAGTCGGCAAGCTTATTGAGGTAGTCTCCGTCTTCCAGTTCTCGTCGTGGAAAATCTGCTGTTTGAGAGCCTCCAGTCGAATCATTACTGAGCCATCGAGCGTATTCTTTCTGCAGCCGGAGAGCTCGTCTCGTGCATGCCTTGTCCACTTCTTCCTTTAGGCGGTGAATGTTGGAAAACGATTTCGACTTTCGCTCTCGTGCCACTCGCTGCACCAAGGCACGAAGACTGCGATCTTCGAACCCGCCCTCAACCGACATGCCCCTTTTCTGTATTATACGCACAGCGAGCTGCTTGAGCTCCTCATCACTGTAGTCTACAAGACACAGTGGGCTCTGTAGTTCCTCCAAAGCCTTCTCGTTGCCTTCGCTGGAATCGAGAAGAGACTTGGTTCGCGTGGAGATGATTACAACAGAAACCAATGCAGTCTCGGCGAGGTCTTCCATGGTATCTGAACTCTGTGTATGGTATGAGAAGCGATCGTTCCAAGGGCTATATGAGCTGCTGTCGTCACTATCGGAAGAATCGTAGTATTCACTGTCTGACGAAGCCTGACTGAATTTTGGTTTGTCGTAGAACACAACCTGATGGTTGTCAGTAACCAGCAGCGCTTGGCCGTGGTCTTACTCACTGTCGGACGCTTGGGTGGTTTTGGGGATGACTTTCTATAACGAGGCCTATATGGTCTTCGCTTGGCGGTCGGCTTCTTGGAAAAGACCTGGCTATTCACGGCTCCTATAGAGAGGAGAAATTGTGCGTAGAGTTTTGCTATGGTTTTCTTGCCTATGCAAGGCAGTCAATGATATGTTCACTTCTCTAATTTCAAAGGACTTGCCTGTTCCGTCCTTCCCGTGAAGAACTAGATGAAGCCGCAACTTTGACAGGCCCGGGTCACTCTCCTTACTCTCCTTGACCCTGGCCTTGACGGCAAGAAAGTGAGCCTTCACATTCTCCAGACCAACTAGCGACATCAGTTGGTCAAGATGAGGGTTCTTCTCGTTGTCTTCTCTCTTCTGCCTCAGCCATTCCAGTCTAGATGGCGAATCGTCGTCAACGTCCTCTGGGTTCACTTCGCTAACCGCAGACTCTGCCCATGAGGATGCATCGTCGACGCTTTTTGAATGGTCATCACTTTCGGAGGAGCCATAGCTTTCGGAAGAGCTATCGCTACTGGAAGAGCCGTCGCTTCTGGAATAATTGTCGTATCTGCGATATATGTCGAATGGGGAACTCTTGCGTTTAGTGTTGGTGAATATCTTCTCAATGCCGTTAGGGAATTGCATAGACCTCCATGCTGCGCGCGACTTTTTGATGGACGCCTCGGATTTCTCTTCAGGATCAGGGCCTTCCACTGCCTTTGGTTTGGCATCGGCTGCGCTGGAATCTGAGCTTTCTTTTCCAGCGGCGTCTTCAGCTTTGCCTTCCTCCTGTTTCTGACTGCCCGCACTCTTCACGACAATTTCGAGTAGAGTATGGCAGTTGTGCGGCGTCCTCCCTTTGGTTTCGCCATATTCTGTGGCAGATTGCTCGTGATTGCTTCTCTCATGCCGAACGCTGACAACAGGGAGTACGGTGAGGTGCTGGTCTTGAACTTGATTGTCAGGAGTTACTCCGTTTGCTGAAATGTGATGGTTCGCATCAATAGTTGGGGTGGAGGCATCACTATTTGCCGGCTTGTTCTCGTCTCGTGGTCCCTCGTTGGACTCCTGGTGCCCGTTTTGCACCCTTTCGTCGTCGACTTTCATGTTGAGCTTGGGAAAAAAGCATCCGAGAAGAAGTAGCAGAGCCTCATTCCCAGATGAGAAGTAGCTGGCACAATTTTTGAAGCCATAATTTATTCCAATTTAGATGCGGATAGCCTCGAAGAATACATCGGGTTCCAGCTTGCCTGATCTTGTGAAAAGCAGGCTGCCACCAGCACAGCCGCAGGCAGACTGCCCTAATAGCTCGATTGTACATCTCACTCGCTGCAACGATCCAGCCGTGTTACCCTGCCTCTTCTCACATAAGCAGGGAGGCAAGCGCCACCAACGTTGTTGCTGAACACTTGATGCAATGCCGTCTGCACAACGTAGCAGTGCTCTGAGGCCTACTGCGTAAGCCAATGATGATGCAACAAACATCGTTCAGGGCGGTGCTTGGACTCAGAGCTTATGACGGAGGTAGAGCCCGCCTAGATGGTCAGCATCTCGTTTTAATTGAACTCTGTATCGAGACCGGAACTCGAAAGGAAAGTGCTCACAGAAAAAGGAGTGGGCTTAAGTTTCATCTTGATTTCAGTAAGTACTTGAACATATCAGTAACAATCTGCTATGACTTTCTATTTCAAAGAAGTAAAGAGATAATCCCTAGGCGCATCTATAATTTACCCTAGTCCTCGTCTGCATCTCTCGCTGAGCCGTCATTATTCCCCTGCAGCCGCTCCTCGAATCTTTTGAATTCGTTCGCGCTCACTCTGCCTATGCTGGTTGCGCTGATAGTCTGAATTGCCGTGTAGAAGTGTTCCCTTGTCAAGATCCGCTCGGTTGTATCGCGCAATTGTGAGTTTACACAGTTGGTAGCAGCCATGACGCAGAGATTCTTAAGATCTGACCCAGTGTAGTTCGGGGTCAATTTGGCGATGTGATCTGTATTAATGTGCTGCAGCGTCTCACCCTCGAGCAACAAGCCCAGTATCCCGGTTCGCTCTTCTTGCGTGGGAATGTTGAGATGTATCTGCACAGGCGCTCGTCGAAGAACAGCCGGATCTAAGTCGAACGGCCTGTTTGTAGCAAGTAATACGAAGGGAGCTCTGGTGTCCGTAATCAAGCCGTCCCACTCCATGAGAAACTGGTTCAACATCGATCTGATATGTCTCTTCTCGCCAGCTTTGCGCGCACCAAGCATTGCATCAGCTTCATCAACGAAAACGATGCAAGGGTATAGTTTTCGGGCGAGAGAAAAGATAGCCTTGATCATTTTTTCGTCTTCTCCGTGGCACTTCTGCCAGACCTCAGATGTTGAGATAGATAGCATGTTAAATCCTGATTGTTTTGCCATGCCTCTAGCCAACATGCTTTTGCCCGTGCCGGGGGGGCCATAGAGAATAGATCCTGTGACTTTGTTCCCCTTGAGCACGCCACAAGAGAAAGCTTTCGGCCGTAAGAGCGAAAGCGAAGTCACTTGCTCCAGCTTGTTGATGATGGAGGGATCAATAAAAATGTCCCGATAGTTTGGTGCGATATTGTCTATCACATAAGGTTAGTGGCGTTAAAACATTTACATCGTTGTGTCTGGATGCAGACCTGTGTTGACGATGCAATCGAGAAGCATTCTTTCGAATCGCCCTTTGGCAAGTCCCCTCCACTTTCTCATTTTCCGAGCGTGGTTTTGCTGATCTGTGCTGCCCGAGGTTGAATCCAGATCGCTGTCGTAGACATTGTCTCGTCCAAAATTGCCATCAACGTCCTCATCATTTTCACTATCACTGTTGCTCCCGATGAGCTTCCCGGATCGTAGGCGAAGGCCTGAAAGAAAACTTTGATTTCTGCAGTAGCTTGGAGCATTGTAAGATGAGGAATCCGAAACCTCTGCAAGTAATTCATGGCCGGGTTGCAGGTAATGGTTGTCCTCTACTGTAGAGTGCTCGCCCTCGAAGCGGGCGGTGAGATCACGTTCGCCTGACTGATCACTTTGCTTTGGATCCTGTTGCTGGTCCGTCAAACTCGTTTCTTGGTCAATTTCAAGTGTCTGCGTCGATAACTGGGATGATATTTCCCCAACTGATACTGAGGAAGTACATGCAACGGTGGGTTGGCTTTGCAATTTCAACGCCGCGAAGTAGACGTTGAGGTCGCAAGGTCTGGCACTATCGCGAGTCATTTTCCTCTAATCCCTGGTATAAATTGCGAGATACTATGAGAGTATTTTTGAGAGCGATAATGGCAAGATATTTTTCTAGAGCTTGCTCTAGGTGACTGTAAGGCGGATTATTTGTTGCACAGCCTGCCTGTCTGACCACCACCCTCGTCTAATCTGAACCAGGCAGCGATGGAAATTGCCCAATCATCGGGGAATCTTCATGCTTATGCGCTTGCTTGAATTTTGTGTGCGAGTAAGCGGCTGCAGAAGAGCCCGGACAATGCTGCCTCCCAATCCAAAGTGGTTCGCCATTCAGTCTGTCACTAAGTCCGCCTTGCTGGCCCCCATCCAGCCTGCCTCGAAGGCCTGACCGAGAAGGAAACACAAATCCCTTGTAAATCTTGTAATTTGGATAGATCTACCATAGATGACGAGGCTGCCACCAAAGAAGAAGGTCTCGCTGGCTCTAGTCGGTGAGCCCAGACTTAAGGAGGAAGCCCGTATCGAGCCTTTTCGCTTTTCTTGACCACTTCTCGTTTCCTCAAACAGCAGCTATTCATCTCACAAACACCACTTCCATCTATCACTCATATAAATATAGGCTACCTTGAAGTTGTCACTATGTCTTCAAGGTCTGTGACTCTGGGCGGAAGCCTGGAAGAGAAGACCGGTGTTGAAGGCCAGGCTCGCGAGGCATCAGGTCCTCATTCTTCTCCCAGTCAACCGAACACCCCGCCAAATTACAACACACCGAATCGGTCGGGTTCGGGTATCGAACCTCTTCCACTTCCGAGACGTATCACAGTAAAATCTGCCGGCGATAAGCCGAAAGAGTTCTTCCATCGATTCCGACGTCAGCCCGTCCACCCAGCTTGCCAAGGACCCTCAATCGACTCAGAAGAGCGTCCTAGGCCCAGAGGCGGGCCGGCTCAATGCGATGTCGAGGAAGTGCTTAAGAAAGTCTTGCCCAGATCGGAAGGTGCGGCCTATTATCCCGAGTTTGACGCCGCTGCGTTGTACGTCCAATCTGAAGACGGGCTCAAGACTTTGTGGCATGTAGAAACAGAGCGATTAATGAAAATTGCCAAGAATCCGGACACTCCATTGGAGTTTTCTAGTCATAGTTTCCTACAGGGAGACAACGAAAAGGGCTATCGCGACTTGTCCAAATTATGCCAGAAAGTCTTGACAGCCATCACAATCTGTCTTCTCGACAACGAATGCATCAATGCAGAGCACTGTGGTCAACTCTCGGATCACCAGAGGCTCTCAAGTCTCATCAGGCAAGTCTCTAAGGGCCAGGGTGCTGCAGAGAGCTTTGCAAACATGGAAGAAGCCGAACACCAGGAAGACGCATTGTGCAGCCTCGGAGCTACTTACGAGCTGATCAACTACATCTCAGCGGTCTTGACGAGACTAATCGTCCAGACATCGCCAGGCTCTTACTGGCAAACAAACGTTCTTGGTGTTCTCATTAAGCGAATTACCAAGATCAAGCTGCTGTTGATTGATCTGCACGCGAACTCCACAATCGCCGTCAGGGCTGCAGAGGCCATCCTGTCCAAAGTTCGTGAATCTGGTGATACGCAACAAAAACGGGGCGAAATGGATGAGGAGGAAGAGTGTGAAGAGTATATGCGAATGGTTGAGGCGAATGAGAAGGAGGGAACCGCGTCATTTGAGGACAGCCAGGTAGCGGCTCATTGTGTCGAGCAGAATAAGTTTCGGTTTGGACTGAATTCAGCTTTGAGACATATTTTGATGTCCCTGAGATTCATCAACCGCTCTGGCCTTCCAGCAACATCGTTCGAAATCTGCGCCGTAGCGTATGAAACGGGGTTCGAAGGTTTCAAGGTATGTAGAACACTCGCCTGAACTCTTTCCGCTTTCCCAATTCTGAACCATCTATCACAGGCGCTTCTTTTTCAAGACAGAGATCTTGAGTATTCGGCAACATCGGACCTCGATAATATGAACACTGCACACTCAGCATTCAACATTCTCAACCAGATAGTCACACATCTCAAGCATCAAAGCCGTGAGCATGAAGCATACACCAACGGCTTGAAGACAACCTTACAATGGAGATACTCTGGAGATGAAGACAATCGGTTGGGTCAGGTCGACATCGATCTTGTAGGCTACAGCCATTGTCTACAACTCAACTCCATGGACGAGGTCATAACTATAATGGTACCTCTGGTTATGACTTGTCCGGTCTTTTTGTCGGACTTCACCAGCTTCCGACACGTCATGGCTCTGACAGGCTTCATCCAAGATGACGTCCAGCCGCTCGCGGAAGGCAAGTTCGGTGCCTTCTTTCGCATGTACACCAGTGAATTCGCCAGTATGAAGAGGCCGGACGTTCTTCATCTTTCCGAAGCTCTGGACCGTGGGTTTTTCTCGCGGGCCGGGTTAGTGCGGAGCTCACACCCTCCGCCAAGAGAACAGCATGATGCAACGCATCGACTCAATGAGCTTAAGAAGCTGACAGAGTATATGGATGAGTGGGTCGTCGATGAAACGTGCGTAACGGTGTCATGCCCAGGATACGTCTGGGGCGTAATCTTTACAGCCGTAGTATTTGCAGCAGGCGGCTTGGGCATTGGCTTCAGTGTCGGCCAACGGATCAATGGTGTTGATCCCTCGAACCTGGCGACCTACCTTTGGGTCGTTGCTGCTTTTATCGTCTTGATCGGAAAGAGCATGAAGGTAAAGGAATGGACATGGAACGACTTTCTCCGGAGGCGGGTTCGCTGCTGCTCAGTATCTGAACTACAGTCGGTGACTAGGATAGATGGGCAGCTCATCATCGCTAAACTCTTGCATGATGAACGACGGGGCAGTGTACTGAACATTAGGGGCCCTTACAACTCAGCTTTCCTCAGAAGATCTACCGAAGGGTTTTCGATCGATAGGCCTATCAGCTCGTCAACGCTCTTAATTAGCGGGCTGACGATGTTGAAGGTCGTCACAGCTAAAGGGCACGCTTTGGTATGCCTCGACTTTCGAAGGGGAACAGATTTGAGAGTCATCGCCCACACCCCAGATCCACGAAAAGAACATCTGATCTGTGAGCAAATCGATAGACTGCAGTCCGGAGCTGGTGCGACGGCAGATGGCGCAAAGTCTCAGACTAAACACGCCTTTTCGAGGTCCAGAGAGTTGAAATGGAAAAGGGTACAGGGAATCTATCCACAGATGGAAGCCAAGTTTGTATGAAGGCCGTTTGCTTTGATGCCAGCTGACATAGGCTTGCTTTCCCATGAATCAAACAGATGCTTTGAGTTAGACATGAGAGAAACAAATTTGATAGAATATGCTCCGCATCCAAATCTCAAGCAGTTGTTGGCGGTCCATCATCGTAGTTGATATGGCGATCAAGGCTAGCGCCATTTCTTCGAAGCGGAAATTCCGCCTCTTCAGGGAAGAATACATACTGGGAAGTAGCATCGAAACGGCAATAGAGAGTTCATAAGTACGATAGATACCTAGCCAACAGTAGTCGTGAGAGGCGTTACATGTGTTGGACTCGTCCTAGTGAGTGCCAGCCATGCCGAATGCCTTACCAGGCCGAAGAGGTGCGAACATGTGGTATCCTATCAATTACTAGATTGTTATCTATTTATATATCTGTAAGTGCTTTCCTAAAAGTTGAAATAAATTATAAAATATCCCCAACATGTCTCCCTTATCTTCGCTAATGAATAGTTTCGAAACAAAGTCGAAGTTCAAGAAAGACTGGAGACGAATATACTAATGCCTTCGAAGGTAGCATTAAATAGAATGAAATACGCAAAGCAAAGCTACGTACCCAAGGGTTCTCCCCGTATTCGGAAGTTAAATAATCCGCGACAGACATGGCCACGCCGTGCACGGACTTGAAGAGTACCAAATTGGCCAGCGCATCTGTCAGTGGATGTTGGAAGCCCCGCCACCCCAATCGCAGCTGCCCCCAAGGTCCCTAGCGACAGGGAGCTCACAGAGCTAAACCGAACATTACATCAGGTCGCGACTCCCCTTGCATACGCGACCCGCAACCTCATCACAAGCATGCGCAACTGTACTTTGGAACACGCTCAACAGCCACCATCGATTCTTCGCCGTCAAATGCATCCATAGTGATTGATGCGCCGATTCTCAGGCCGACGAATAATACTCTCATTGCACACCTTTCGACGAAATGGCCTCTACCGAGGAGGGCGCAGACGCCATGGACATTGAGGTGTCGCCCAAAAACAGGACCTCGGTCGAACACGATATACACCAGTCGCTCGGCTCCATCAGCAACTCCGTCGAGTCACTCGAGATGCGCGCCGATCCAGACGCGCAAGCTACCGTCACCGACTTCCTCGACTTTACCGAATACCTTCCTTCCGATATGACGCGATCATTGACCCTGATCGGCAAGCTCGACCAAACATACACCGAGGCGTCAATCAACGTCCACAACCTCACCTCGACCTGGGGAAAGCTACCCAGCATTCCCGCTGAGGAGCGCCCATCTCCTGTACAGTTGCGCGCCGATATTTCCGACAGCCTCAACCATGCAGTCAGCTCCCGGGTTTACGCGCATGCCGAGGCAGTTCGCATGTCCGAGAACGTCAACCGTCACTATAATCGCGCAAACACGATACTGGCCAAGTTGAAGAACCTGCTGGAAAACTATCCGGCAGAGGAACAAAAAAGCCCCGTGGCGACCTCCAAATCTCAGCTTGTCAGAGCGCCACGGGTGATGCGAAATGGAGATGGCGAGAAGGTGCGCAGGCCACGGATACCCAGGATTACTGTGCCCGGCGAAGTACTACCGCCATATGACCAGTTTATGGCGTACTCGGACGACAGTGATGAGAGCTCTGAAGAGGAAGATGACGATTCTTTGGGACGGACGCCAGCTCGCACAACACCAGCACCGCGCATCAAAGTTGTCAAGACCCCCAAGGCGAGGCCACCAAAGACCCCAAAGGCTGCTTCCTCGGCGCGGCCTCCCAAATCTGCTGCGGGCCAGGCTGCTGCGGCAACTCCTGCTGTTGTGCTGCAACCTCCGCCAGAGAACGCCGTGATAGGAAGCGCGGATGCCCCCTGGTTGCAATTGACGCCATGGGAACTTGCGAGGCTTAGAAAGCGGATGAAGAAGAATGCAACATGGAGTCCTAGTGATACCATGATTTTGCGAGAACTCAAGACGCTCGGCCGTGGCATTGATGCCTACAAGGAGGCAAAGAAGAAGGCCGAGGACGAGGGCAGAGTTTTTGACCAGGTGCCTGCGGCTCTGGCCCCTGATGCTGAAGCTGGTAACAAACCAATTCCGGAAGGTGCCATTAGTGCCGCTGCGCTTGCGTCCGATGATATTCAGCTGAGCAATCGGGGCATGAAGCTCAACGAGGCCAAGAAGCTTAAGCGAGAGTCACTGGCAAAACAGGCTGCAGAAGAGGCGGAAGAATCAGCCAGACAGTTTAGGGAAGCTGCAAGACTTTTGATGTCTCATGAAGCATCGTCATCATCGGCTGCGAACAACACAAACACCACCACCACCACCACCAACAACAACAACAATACTACCACGCCCTCTACGGCAAATAATACTACAACCAACACAACTGCAGACCAGCCGAAAGGCGTAAGCAAAGCGAAGACTCCAGCGAAGCCAAAACCCAACGGCAACAAGCGGAAGAGAGATTCTATCCCAGAGGCCGAGGCCGAGAAGCCTGAGCAACCGCCAGTTGAGACACCAGCGCCTCGTCCCGCTCCAAAGCGCACCAAGACGGAGACTCCAGTGCCGCTTCCTCATCTAAGAGCCAGTCTCGCTGCGCAACCTCTAACAGAGTCTACAATACCACCTCCTGTTCTTACACCAGGCGGTACTGCGGTAACTCCCAAGATGACAACCCCAGTGCCGATTCCTGTTCCCGGACAAGATGGCTCGACGACCACAGGCACTGGCCCTGCGGCTGCGAAGCCAGCGAACACATCCGCGCCGGCCTCTTCGCCGACTGGTTCGGTTGGGCCCCCGGCGTCAGTCGCAAGCAATGCCCCGGCAAGTATACTGACCAAGCTACCCGCGGAGACGCCAATACCGCCACCCATCTTGTCCCCCAAGAAGTCCACCACGCCCATTCTTCCTCCGGTGCGTGACTCTGCAGCTCGAAGGGAAACAAGGGGCGAGATGGCAAAGAAGAATCAGCAGCAACTCGACAACCCCACACCAGTGCCGGCGCCACAGGTTCCGCAGGCACAGCGCTCGTCATCTGCAGCGCCTTCGATCAAACAATCAAGCTCGCGTGCGGCGACACCAGGCACCACACCGGTGCCCGACGGCCAAGGGAGACGTCCCAGCTCGCGAGGAAAAGCTATGAGTCAAGAGCCACAGCCTTCGCTAGCAACTGACCGACCCCGTCGCGCTAGTACCGCGCGGAATACGCCAGCTCCCGAGCAGCGACAGCAGAGCAAGAGGACTAGAAAGCCTGTGCCTGGTATCGTCAGCAAGACCAACGCTGGAGGCAGCAGTGCCGTGGGTAAGCGAAAAGCGGCTCCCAAGAAGAAACGCGCTCAGAAAAAGGAAAAGGGCCAGCCGATCGAGATCGAGTTGGAAGAAGACGACGAGGGTAACCCAATCGACCCGAAAGAGCCACGGTACTGCGACTGCAACAGAGTCAGCTTTGGCGAAATGATTGCGTGCGACAATGAAGTAAGTGTTTTTCGTGTAGCTCGAGGTCTAGGGTCACGCTGACAATTGTTCTTCCTGCGTTCAAAAGAATTGCGATAAGGAATGGTTCCATCTAGAGTGCATGGGTATGACCCATATTCCTGCGCGGACGACAAAGTGGTACTGCCCCGATTGTCGCCTTCGTCTGAACATTGGGGAGAAGGGCGAGATTAATGCTAGGGGGGTAAAGGCTTGAGTTGAGGTCCCAGATGCGAGGATCGGCGTTGAATCCAAGGGAGATCACTCAAGCGGCGTTTTTGAGGGTATCTTTTACGAGCGAGGAGTGAAGGTTGCCAGGGCTCATGATAGACAAAGAGCCACTGCTGTACATTATTAGTCGTGTGTATCAACAGTATATGAAAGCTGCACCACGGTGTGGCTATTACGGCATCTAGGATTCTTCCAGTGTGGCGTAGTTGACGATTGCGAGGGAATGTGTGTGGTTGATGCGAATGTACCGACTGCTTTACATATTGTCCTAAATAGGTAAGTAGGCTTCTAGTGCCATGATCGGGCGACGAGGTGGGTTACACGGGACCGTTCGGCACATGTGGGGCCGGCGACTGTTCTGTGTCCGGCTTGAGAACCCTTACTCGATGCAACGAGTGGCCGGTGGTTAGCGTGGCCAGTGCATGAAATCGAATTCTAAAATTCCCAAGACGTTGCCGGCGGCAGCGCCTTAACCGCGCACAATTCTGGTTAGGCTCTGATTTGTCGGTGGAACCTCGACTCGCCCCGAATTCTGCTCAGAACTATCGGATTGTTGCTTGTTGCCGAGATATCAGGGGTTGAGGTATTGAAAGAATGGAAAGTCGAGGTGGTTGATGGTGGTCAGTGAGCACGCGCCTTTCTGGGTTGATGTTGGTGATGTGTATCTGAAGGACCCCCGTGCCTACATACGTTTTCCAGAATGTTTGCATTTTTTTTTTCATCTCTTTCTCTCTTGGTCCATTTCATCTCAACACCTCTGCGAGTCATCCGAATGCTTCATTCATCCCACAAGTCAAGTCATTCTCTGGTGATCCCTGAGTGCTATATTCAACGGATGCACGTAGCCAGCCGACTTACACACGCCTATTTCGACGCGGTATTCCACATTCTCATACCTCCAAGCCCTTCTACCACCGATCCCTTCTCGAAACAAGCAGGCCCTGAAGATGGGAATTGCGGGGTGCGTTCAAGCTGATTCGTATTCGCAGAAGTTCGATTTGACAATCGTTTCTACTTGTACTAATCATATCTTGTTAGTTTTTGGGAACTCGTCGACCGAGCCGGCGTCGAGAAATCCTTGGCACAATGGGCCACTGATCACTTGAAGAAACATAAACGACCACTTCGTATCGCTGTAGATGCAGCCCATTGGCAGTTCAAGAATGTCTCTGACGCCCAGGAAGCTGCTATTCAACAACGTTGGTCACCCGTTTCAGTCAACCCCTTATTACTGCATTGATGTGGTTTTTCAATCTTGTATATTCATGTGTATTCTGCACCGTTTTTCACTTACGCTTTTGGTTTGCCTTTGAAACCCCAAGAGAATCCCGAGGCTGACAATTCCGACTGGAATCACTAGGTTCCCACCCAAAGGAGAAGGCCATCCTCGAACGTCTGCTGCCGTTGATGCGGCTCGGTATCCATGTGGTATTTGTCTTCGACGGCGAAAAGCGCCCACAAATCAAGCGGGGCTCCAAACGGTACGGTCAACGAGAGTCAACCACCGCCCTCATAAAGAACACGCTTGGTCACATTCTCGTACCTTGGCTCCAGGCACCAGGCGAAGCTGAAGCTGAATGCGCTTTACTCCAGCAACAAGGTCTCGTCGATGCAGTCTGGTCTGAGGACGGCGATTGCTTCATGTTCGGCTCCACTGTTGTCATTAGAGACCTGCGGGATACCAAGAACCACAAGTCCAAGGAGCATGCGCGAATCTTCGACATGAGAGACATCCGTCGCTTGAAGGCTGGCCTTTACAATGATAAAAGTGTCGCCTGTTTCGCTATGCTCACTGGCTCCGACTACGCCCCCTCCGGACTCTTAGGCTGCAGGACATGTCTCGCTCAAGAGCTTGTCAAAGACGGCGGCCTTGTCGAGAGCTTCTATCGTATCCAGTCGCTTCCTCAAAGGAATCAATGGCGAACGCGCTTGAGGGATTCTATTGAGAAAATCACCAGCCTGACAGACCTGCACTTCAACAAGGACAAGTCCAATATCATGACTTTCCCTGATCTTGAGGCCCTCAAGAATTGTCGTTCGCCCGCAGTGTCCACCTCAGACACACTCAAAAGGCTCCCTTTCCTGCAGGGCGAGTGGTATGGCACCCACACCACGAACAGCCTGGCAACCACGATTCCTTGGATGCAGCAGTACTACTTTTCGAGAATGACCACTATTTGGTGGATCAGGCAGTTTACACCCATGGTATTGAACCAGAGGCTTCTCAAAGGCGAAGTTCAAGCTCTCGACCTCGTCGCCAAGGTTGCACAAAAACGTAAGGAGCGCCCAACGAGTTCCATCGAACTGGATCCCTGTAATGTGTTCCCCGGTATCGAGAATGTCTTCATCGAATCCGAGGGAAATCTTCTAGTGAACAGATTGCGAAGCGACCGCGAATTGGCGGGCAGTCCGATCGAGAATGGGAAATTTGACATGCTGGACGCAATTCTAGGGCTTGGGATGTCCGACAAAACATACCAGAAGTGGAGGAAGAAAAAGAGGTCACCTCCGGCAGCCAAGATTCATCCGGCACATTCAGCGCGGGCACCCCTACCTCCTCAGATGAGTCTCGGCAGCCGAGTTCCTTTCATGAACAGTTTCCAGGCAAACGGCGGTGTTCTTGACGACTTAACGGAGCCTTCTAACATCGCCTTTGGTGTTGGTGTAGCTGAAGTCATTCCGTCAGACCTTCTGAAGCTTCAAGAGCAGATTCTTGCGGAATGCCAGGCCAACAAGATCCGTACTCCGGCTGTAGAGCCTCGATGCAATATTCGCATTGGTCAGGGAAAGTCTCCAACGGACAGCAAACATTCTGAAGAATTGATCTCGCCCTTGCTGGTTCACAAGCCTGCCATACCGGCTACTACAAGCCCTTCCGTTCGTTCCATACCCAAGGCTGCAGCACCAGCATCTCCCGCTGTTACCAGGGACAAACGAATTGCAAAGTTCGAAGTCAAACGGCGTAGCAAAGAGACATCGAGAAGTGCGGGATATGATGAAAGTATTGCTCTTCGATATGGCAGTGCTTACAGCCTCGACAACGACGATACTCCCTGTGAGTCGGCCTCAGCCAAGAAGAGAAGGCTGGAGAAAGCCGATGTGGAGGATGTACGAACCGAGGCCCCCGGAGTGAGAGCAAGACACATGCTTCTTGAGGTTGAGCTGGACTTCTCTCAGGATTCCATTCGGGCTACCAAGGCGAAAGGAGACGGGCGATGTAAGTCTGCTGTGGTGGATGATGAGATAGGTGCCGCCAGAACGCGTATGAATGGTGACGGCACAGTTGACGATCCATTCGAGGTCTCGTAACGGAGCTTTTCATCTTAAACTTTTCTTCTACGGCTCCAACCTGATCCAGCATGGGACCATAGCGAGCTTATCACCTGATCTCGAAGGGGGTTATAGGTACGGGTGGAATGGACCAACGATATCATGTATAGTAAAAGCATTATGACAAACCAAGCTGCTTGCGCAGAAGAATATCATACCCGAGTTGATGTCTTTAAGCGGCCCTCGAATATAGAATTCGAAAGAGCATGTCGCGTTGTAGAAGTAGGGTGAGGTCAACTTTTGAGTCCCTTTCCGACGGAACTTCCGAGAAACGCATAGGTGCAGCGCTCTCATATCATTACAAATCGAATCTAGAGTCCGCCAGGTAGCCTTTAGTGACGGGGAAGACGATGGACATGGATTTGCAATAAAACCGGTCAATGGTGTCGCGATTTCCTTCCCGAGGTAAAGGTTCCGAAGCCTTCATCGGGTGCCGACAGGGCTTCCGGCCCGAAGACTTGTGGGGATACCCCCCCCCCCCCACCGCCCGCCGTCCCGCACTTGGGAACGGGGGACGGATATAAACGTCACCTTGCTTCCTCCCACGTGCTTTGTAAGAGTACGCTACTCACAATACATTCACTGCCTCCCTTACCTTGTTACAGAGTGTTCTTTGAAAAATATACGCAAACTCCCGAAGGACGACTACGATTCCCAACAGTTCGCCAACTAGTAGAAAGGTGACAAGAATGGCCTCCTTTGCTGCCACAGAGGGCGTGGAGCCCCACGATAGCTATTCCAGAATGGAGCCGTTCTCGGCCAGCGAGACGGCGATGGAGCGGGACCTCCGGCTCCGGATACGGGACTTTTACCGGACCAGCGATAACAAGGACCTGAACGAGCGATGGATCGAGTTCTACACGCCCGATGCCAAAGTGAAGATTGGTCCGGCGGCGGGGGAGAAGCACGAGAGTGAGTTTTGCTACCTACGTAGTACCCAGCATTGTGCTTTGAGGTATGGGGACGGCTGACATGTTTTTTGTATTATCAGACCTCCGTCAGCTACGGGCGGACATGTGGAGCTCTGTCGCGGCGAGGAAGCACTGGATCACGAGTGCGATCGGCTCCGCTACCGAGAAGGGTGTGCACGTCATGCTCAAGGGGGGGGTTCGGAGGAAGGGGTTGGATGGTGCTGAGAACGTCTTCAGCTGGGCGGGTAGCGCAGACTGGGTGAAGCAGGATGGGGAGTGGCGGATGGATGCATATCGAGTATGGCTCGACCAGTGGGCTCCTATTGAGGGGGAACTACCTTCGGTGTCAGAGTTTTGAAGTTGTGACATATGGCGGCGCTGGCTGAAGCGGAAATATCCAGAATTGAGCAGTGTGTCGAATAGCAAGGAGAAGTGTAATGTGAACCGGAGCAATCCAGCCATTGAGATGTGGCAGTCATTCATTGAGCGTCGGGCACTTGCCAATTGGCGGCGCAATGCGATTTGTCGCAGCCACCGTGTTTCGGCGATGGCATTGCTCTGCCCGTCTTCAGCAGCGAGCAGATTGGCCTCGAGTTCGTCGATGACGGCAGATTCATCCGGTGATGGCTTCGACCTCAGACCGCCCCATGCGCTTGCTTGCGCTTCGACGGCGTAGCGGGCGCGGTTGGCCCCGTGCCTTGCATTCGTCGCGCGTCGCCTCGTCCAGGCTTCGTCTCGCGTAGCTACGCCTCATCCGAATGGGTTGCTTAAGTAATTGGACCGAGGGTAGCCAGAAACTCAAGTAGGTATTGCCTCAACAGAATCGTGACAAGTTGCCGGCATCTCAATTCTTGAAACGGCGATGATCGAGGTTCGCAATCCACCCAGTAAAGCTGAAGGCGAGGTTGGGGGGAATGAGGAGGGGTATCCAGGAAAGCCCCTCCATACGTCAGCTATGGTGCGTTGTTCTCGTGGTCCACGGTAGAGCTGTGAGTGGCTCGTTCACCTGACGTGGTGCCCCCCGTTCCTCCACCGAGGGGGTCAGGTGTCTTTGTCAGTCGGACGGTCTGGCCCTGAGCCGCCGAGTGTGTGGCAGTTCAATGGGGAAGCGGTGCGATAGGACGGACGGATGACCGTCAGCGGGAGGATACGGGATAACGACGGCATACCGTAGAGGGAAGCCAGGAAGCAGGACCGCAATCCTGGAAGTGTTTGGCGGCAAATGAAGTCGACACCGTTAATTTAGTCTGGAATCCGTCCATAATTCCACCCCAGGAGGAAGCTTGGTCCAGTTAGCATCGGTTGAGCCTGCGCCGCTTGTCATCAGGCCAAAGCGGGATGATGGCATCAGTCACCAGCCCCAGATCGTCACCTTCATCTGTCTGTCTGTTGTTCGTCTTGCCGTCGTCCGTCTTGAAAGTTGCTGGCACAGAGGCAAACGCACGCACAGCCCAGGTGTCAGCAGCTGGTCCCCGCTCCAAGGATGGCTTGTTGGGGGTTTGTGATGGGATCTGTGACGGTAACAGTAGGTATTTGGCTTGCCAGGCTTGGACATTGTAGCTTTAAGCTGGACCTCGCGCCGTTGCCGCCTGCATTTCCGGCCTCGGCAAGAGAGTCTGTATGCGTATGCAGAGCTGAGCTTAGGTAGGCGTTTGAGTGGCTTTGTGAGTGTGTGTACCAAAGTGTATGAGAGAGAGTGTGTGTGTGGCAGACACTTCGGAGATTCGGTAGAAAGCAATGGAAGAAAATGTGTCAATCTAGTGGTGGACGGATGAGAGGTGGTCTCAGACAATATTGAATTCGTAGTTGAATCAGTGTTCCGTTGACGATAGTTTGATTTGGTCGCTTCCGTCAGGAATTCTGAGGGTAGATGAACTGATAACGCTACTGCGCGCGTAGGTATTCTGTGCCTGCAATCAACTAGTTAGTGAAAGAGAGGATAGACCGGGAGGCGCAAATAAAGGAGGTAATCAATAAGTTGGAGCCTAGCCAGGCTGGGCTGGGCTGGACTGGACTCAACTCCGGTTGCTGAGGTCCAATGTCAAATTGAGAGGAGTGAGCGAGAGCGAGGGCGTGTAAAGGGATCGGAAGTGCCTCTTTCTCTTTGGAGTCTTGAAGGTGTTAGCCCTGCTATCCGCGCCCGCTGCAGCCCAGCTTGAGGTGAGGTGTCTTCCATTGTCTTTACGTACCTGCCATGCTGTTGTAACTGAAAGGTACCTGTTCGTAGAGCGTCGGGACCATGTATCTTCCGTCAGCTGGTACGGTCATGTTCGAGTTCTCCGACAAGCAAGAGCTGCGGCGGAGGTACGGAAAGGGACATGACCAGGTACAGAGTACCGGGGCCCCCCAGACAGGCAGTCTCAAGAACCAACCAACCCCCCTTGTCCGCTGCGAGCTGGTTCAAGATTGGTGCGCTGTACCTATCTGCAGACTGCACCAGTATCCGCGGTGCGCGTCCTGCCCGTGATGCGCATCGCAGGTACCTGCCGGGCGAGGTTCAAGCCGAGAGCTACCTCCAGCCTGGAATCTACCAGCTCGTAGATGCAGTTGCAGAACAGTGCCAATCCAATCGCAGAATCCCACCACCTGTCTCTCTGCTTTCCCCTCCCCCTCTCTGAAGTGCATCCCAGCAAGTTGTCTGCACTTGACACCCCTGTCATCCTAGTTCAGGTTCCTCCAACAGACTCAATCAGAAGGGGGGCATGGAGGGGTGGCTTGGAGGGGAGACTGGATTGGGGGGCACACCGCGCCGTACTCCGTACTCGGGGGTGATGGAGGCGCGCAATGGAACCTGAACAACTGGGGGGGACGGGAGAGAGCGAAAGCACTCGAATGCCCCGCTTCCATCCCGCGGGTGGCCAGCAACTGAAGGTACCTTGCCCGAGATGCCTCAGATATGGCTTTCATTGCTAGGTAGCAAGCAGGATTCTGTTGTGCCTGGGAACGTCGTTATGACTGAGAATGAGGTGTTGCTGAGTAGGTATGAGAGTTGGCAGGCCTCTCGCATACCAAACGAAAGCAACCTGGAACCGTCAGAGAGGCCGCCCTGTTACGTGCCCAGGTGGTGCAATATGCCCGGAGTCTTCTTTGGATAGTGCGCCCGGCTACCGGTACCTGGGCCTACCTACCTTACCTTTACCTGAGGTAAGAAATGGAAGGAAGAGGAAGGTCTCCCCTCCGTATCTTATCTTACCTTTAGATGCCGCTGCCGCCGTGGAGGGGGTGGAGGCGGGACAGACCACCCACCCCCGCCATCAGCCACGGAGAGAGCAGCAGGTCCAAGTCAGGTCGGGGGTACCTAAGGGCACGTAGTGTACTCCGTACCCATGGTAGGTACACAGTAGTACCACCGCACCTCACCTCAACTAGAACTGGAACTGGACCGACCGGACCTGGGACCTGCCTACCTGACCTCAACTCACTGTCACTCACTCTTCCCCGTGCTCTCTCCTTCGACTCATCAACACCAACAACTCAAACAACGATCCACGATAGCAGCATTCCCGTGAACACAACAGTCACGTCACGTCCGTCACGACCTGTCACGTCTTTCCTCTTCTGTCTTCTTCTATAGATTTTCCTTTGGCCATCCTAGTAATCTCTCTCTTGCTCTCCACTTTGGCAGTGCCTGCAAGTAAAGCCGCTCTTTTCCCTCTCTTTACTGCTTCTTCCCTTCGCTTTCACCTCCAACCCGACGTCCATCTTGCTTACCGATCGGTATTCGACTTGTTCCGTCTTGCTTTGCCTGCCTCTATTTGCCACGCAAAACTGTTCATATTCAAAGCCTTTACAAAAAAATAGCCTGCGGCAGCCTTCGTCATCCGAGGTCATCTGCCGCCTTTGTCGACCACTTTCGCGCGACTCTCTAATAGACCAACAACTCAACTCTCGTCCTTTGCAGCCTTCCAACAACCCTCATACGACGATATCGAGCCACGTACTGCGACACTTGCATACACGCTTCGTATCGACTTCATCGTTCCCAAATAAGCGGTACAGTTGGCTTGCGGAAACGCAGGTCCTTGGAGCAGGAGACTGCTCCAACTGCCGCGCAACACCACTTGAATGCCGAGTAAGTTCGGGTCTCTCTCCTGCGCCCCTGAGCTGTCATACGCGCCGGGACCAATGTAATTTTGCCATACTCATCATCTCATTCTCTTCAGGTTCGAAGAAGGACAGAAAGAACGCGAAAGATGGTGCAGTTAGCGCCGCGGTGACGAAACTCGCCGCGGGCAAGTTCGCGTAGGTTCCCCTCTACCCCTGCCCGTCATCTTAGAACCCCGCGATAGTCGGCGTTGAGTCACTGCCGCAACCCTTGTGGCCCTTATACCTTTGTCGCGACCACGATGGCTAACAACCTCAAAGAAACGGCAGCCCTTCCAAGAGCCCTCCGTCCGATGCATCGTCGCCTCCCGTTCATTCTCCCGACATTAGACCCATAACTCAAGACCCGTCCCCATACGATGGGCACCCCACCGTCTCGCCCTCTCTGGATGCACTTTCCACCACATCCGCATCGGCTGCAAGTACAAACCACGACTGGGCAAGAGGAGGGCTCGCTGGCTCTCCGGGCAACTTGATCAGTCTCATGGGCGAGTCGCCGCCCACTCAACCTTCCTCCTACGAAGACTCTGGTCGCCTCCACCACGGATGGGCCGTCCAGCGCCAGTCCCTGACGCCCCAGACTGCTTCGCCATCTCCTCCCAACAGCATGCCAAACCATATGAAGCGGCCTCTCAGTTTCCAGATGGATGCGCAGTTTCCCCTTGAAGCCTACCATCAGCCGGCTGCAGCTGCAGCATACCGTCGCAGCTCCATGCAGTCGCAAATGTCCCACGCCCGAGTAGGCTCCCAACCCCCGCTCCCTCATCAAGCCCAGCCGCATTTTTACAGTGCTCCTGACATCGACTTTGATATGGCTTCCAAGGCTGGCATGAAAGCCGGCGATAAGGGCTACTACTTTGGTTTCGATACACTCCCTGCTGCACACAACGAATTCGCCCCAGGATCAGACAATGTTGCGCTGGCGGGCTATGAGGGTGGTCTCGAAGTTTATTCAGTCAGCAAGCGCGGCCTAGATCGGGTTGCCGGCCTCAAAGGGTTGCGAGGAGGCGTATACGATGCCAAGGTCCTTCCTTGGTCAACTCCTGGAGACAAGGCCGATGATTCTCCGCTCGTGGCTGTCGTCATTCACGGGCCTGTGCTACCACAAACATCGCCAGAGATCGCAATTCAAGCGGCAAACGACAACATTACCGAAGACAGAGCTGATGTGCCAGGTAGCCCTCGAGCTGATGGCAGCCAGAAGGGAGGCCCTTCCGGCCGATTCACGCCTGCCATCGAGTTTTACCAGACGTCAGTCGAGCTATATTCTCTCAAGACCGGCAAACTCGTCGACGTGCTTCTACAAGCTCCAAAAGTCCCTCTGGCAACACCCGTAACGAGCCCGATCTTCAAGCCGCCGCCGCCGACGGGCGCATTCATGATCAAGGCTGATGCTGGAAACATTGCAATCGCCTCTGGAGTGAGTGGAGAATGCTGGGCTTACCGTTCTATCCTGGATTCCAACGACGGCACAGTTCGCTTCGGTTGTGTTGGTAAACTCTGGACCAGCCTCCAACAGCCCCCTCGAGGAGAGGTTGCCGAAGATGCTGAACGCCGCCACTCACCTGTGCCTCTTCGTCCCAACCCGCAGACCCCAATCCTATCGCTCAACGGGAAGTGGATTGCCTACTGTCCTCCAGCCGCATCTTCGCAAATCGCTCTGCGCGCTCATGTACCGGTGGTCATTCTCGGCAAAGCCCCGGGCATCTCTTCGGTGACGTCTCCTGTGCTACCCGCGGTCACCGGATCTGTGGATTCTCCCATGGCCGAGAGCATGGTCAACAAGATTATGCGTGAAACAACGCAAGAGTTGATCTCTGGAGCAAAGTGGGTTGGCCAGCAAGGACTGTCGGCCTGGAATTCGTACTGGAACAAGAATGCGAACCAGGCGCCTCCGATGCAGTCTCGATCCCCTCCTGTGACAGCGCAGCAATGGGCAGGATCGTATCCTCCTCGACACGACGCAAACCAATTCCCGCCGACTCACGGTACACCTGGTCAAGCAGTGACTAAAGACCCCGGTCTGGTCTCTATCCTCGACATGGACAGTTTGCCAACTTCGGCCACCTTGCACCCGCTCATCACCTTTGCATCTCCACTTGGCTGCAGCTTCCTGTCCTTTTCACCGACTGGGCTATCTCTATTCACGGCAAGCGGCAAGGGCGACGTGCAGACTGTATGGGATTTGATGTGCATTCAGTACACCAAGTCGTCACCTCTTCAGGTGATCGCGGCTAACAACGCAGTCGGCCCACGAGTGCGCCAGGTCGCGCAATTCTCACGGATGACCGTTGCTCGGATCGTCGACGTGGCTTGGTCGAAACCCAACGGGGAGCGGATTGCAATGGTCACGGAAAGAGGAACCGTTCATCTCCTTGAAATGCCTTTCAGTGCCTTCACCTGGCCGCCGCCTCGCCGGCGCAAGGCCACGGAAGAAAACGGCGCCCCCGCGTCAGATGCACCTAACTCAGCTGTATCGATCGCATCCAGTGCCTTTGGCGCTGCCTACCATGCCGCCAGACCTTTGATCACTCGGCCGCGTAGGAGCAGCGTGAACGCTCAAGGCTTGGCCGGCGGCAACTTTGTCGATTCAGCCAGCGTTGGAGGCAGAGCCATTGCTGCGAGCATCAGTCATTCCCTGGGCAAAACCGGCGTCGCCATAAACCAGCTGCGCCACACAGGAGACAACCGCGTTTCTTTGCCACAGAGCTCGCTTCTGCCAGCTTCGTCATGCGTCGTATGGATCACTGGTAGGAAATACCATACTCTGTATGTGGTCGGCGACGGCCTAGTGCGAACATTCCCATCCAAGACTCGTCGGCCGTCGGCGGCTGCCAACAAGCAGCGTACACCTCGAGGAGTTCGATACAAGGACTTTAAGGTGCCGGCACTCCCCGACGATGGCTTTTCGCCAGCTGTTCGGCAATTCATCGACTCGGACGAGTATCTGGACCTGTCAGACCGAGAAATGGACGTGGGCAAGACGCTGACGCTTGACCCGCGCGCCAGACCGCTCCAAGTCGATCTGAGTGCGGAAGCATCCATCCCGCAAGCCGAGATCGAGTCCAGCGCGCCATACCAGCCTTTCCATACCGACAGGCGAGTGGCTTTGTATGAGTATGCAAGTCCACCAGCGGCCTTGGCTCCATCGCTTGCTGCGCTGATGGCCGATACCACACTGGAGGATCACGCAACGCCCAAGCAAAAGAAGAGACAGCAGCAGCGTGTGCGCGCTCAAGAAACAACTCTTGAGACAAACTGTTCGCAACCTTGGGCATTTGGTCAGCCACTCAACCTGGTGAAGCTCGATACTGGACATCTCTCGGTTTCGGAAGACGAATTCAACATTTCGGATGATCACCGCGCGCTCCCGCTTTCTTCGATGGAGAGAGTCATGCACCGTGGAGAGAACGGCGATGAGATTGTTGTCACAACCCGACGACGACGTGGGGCGAGGCACACGGAGGATGAGGATGGCTTTTTCGAGGATGATTGTGAAGTGCTTGACTTTGCAGATCAGAGAGTTTGAGAAAGGAATCACGAGGCGTTTGGAGCTAGGTTAGACCAGGAGTCATTTCTGCCATGATTTTGTCTACGGATGATAGGCATCGGTCCAAAGAGACATGCGTCGGGCCGAGGCCTGGGATCATGGGGGCAGGATATGTACTTGGCCGGTCGTGCCACTCACTCCTTTATTGGTGATTTTTTGAGGGTTCTCTCTGGCCTAGGGTAGTACCTCCTCGAGCAGCATCAGAGTAGGTAGCCTTGCTCTTGAAGTGAGCAGCGCGCTCATTCTCCAATAAATCCAGCTTAGATACCCATCATTGTGCTTTCGCAACTGTGGACCCATTCCCCCATGGGCCCTCATGTTCTATGCCCGTATCATCGTAGACATCCAACAATAAACCTGGGCCTCCCGGGCATCGACATGCGCAACAATTGATAATAATTTCCCACTCCCGAGTCCTTTACGCCTTCTTCTTCGCGGCAGCCTTGGCCTTGGCGGCCTTCTTTCTGTTGCTGCGGATCATGACGGTGCCTAGGAAGGAACCGACAACGGCGGAACCGAGGAGGATGAGAATGACGGGGATGCGGATGGCCCAAACGCGCGCAGGGAAGAAGCTCTGGAGAGGGTGGCCCTCATCGACGAAGGGCTGTGGCAAGATGTGTTAGTCAACCTTGCTGGCCCTGTTCGCAGAACAAATGGTAATGGAGGGAGGAGGTGGGTGGGCAATGCTACTTACCATGAGCAGGGTCCAGATGGAGTAGTATGTGAAGATGACAGAGGCAGCCACGAGCATGGCGAAGCCGACGAGAGTTCCGCTCTGTAGTAAATAATTGAAGCACAGATTAGCGAGCTGTTGACCATGTTCGGTTTTACTGCCTGCCCTCCTGCCCTCCCTTGTTGCGCTCGAGGGTGGGATGGGATGCTGGCTGTTGAGTGCGGGCGGGTCCTTGCCGACTCGGGGAGAAGCAATGTCAACGTACCATTGTCGATTTTATTGAAAGGGTGAATAAAGAGTGTGAAGAAGGAATCGACGAGATGGGCGCGCGCGAGTATTGACCAGTGACTGTGTGAATGGAAAGGCCGATGTAAAAGCAGGGTCGTGGGGGGGTTGTGGGAAGGAGGTCGAGATGAGGTAAGGCCAGTTAGGTGGTAGCTCTAGGTGCTGTATTGGATCCTCCGATCGGGAAAATTGTCGTCGCGATTTCAGGGGACGAGGGCGCGCCTGCACTGGACCTCTACGGCTGCGCTAAATGGGAGCTGCCACGGTTGACTTATTGACTTGAGGTAGACGGTGGACCTGCCAGATACCTTAGGTTCCCCCTGTGCTTTGGAAGCTCCAGCCTCATGGTCTGTGCGCTCTCTCTACCATAGTGGGTCCTCTTCGCTCCCCAGCCACACTTGGATTTTTAGGTAACTCTTGCCTGGCGATCCTGTTGCGTCAAAGGAGCAGTAACTTTTCCCAACCCAGCCAAAAGGAAAAACAAGACTTCCAGCAACCAGCGCATCTCCGATTCGGCTGCCGCCATTTCTCTGCGTCGCAAGGCTCCCCAGCTGGATTCTCAATCATCCACAGGGCTCTGAGGACGTGAGAACAGAGGCAAGATGGCATCGGCAGACGTTGGCTCCCCGAGCTTCGAGCGCCGCGAACGCGATGGCGAAATGGAAAACGACCGCGACGGCGGCGACCGTCGACACCACCGCGATAACCGCGACAACGATCGCCCCCGCAATCGAGACCGCGATCGCACCGATAGCTACCGCCCGGCTCCCAAAGAACAACGACGCCCGACGCCGCCCATGAAGACGGAGGAGGAGAAGCAGGCCATCGCAAAGGCCGAGTACGAGAAGCTGCTGTCCATGCGGTCCGGAGGCACCTACATACCACCCGCGCGACTGAGGGCGCTGCAAGCCCAGATCACCGATAAGAGCTCCAAGGAATACCAGAGGCTGATGTGGGAGGCGCTGAAGAAGAGCATCAATGGTCTGATCAACAAGGTCAACTATTCCAACATCAAGCACATTGTTCCCGAGCTCTTTGGCGAGAACCTGATCAAGGGCCGCGGCTTGTTCTGTCGATCCATCATGAAGGCGCAGGCGGCTTCTCTACCCTTTACGCCCGTCTTCGCCGCCATGGTGGCCATTGTCAACACGAAGCTGCCTGCCGTCGGCGAGCTCCTGGTCAAGCGCCTCATCATGTCCTTCCGTAAAGGTTTCAAGCGCAGCGACAAGGCTGTCTGCGTTTCGTCCACAACATTCCTGGCGCATCTTGTCAACCACCAGGTTGCTCACGAGCGACTCGCTGGCCAGATGCTCCTTCTTCTCCTTCACAAGCCGACGGACGACAGCGTCGAGATCGCCGTCAACTTCATGCGCGAAGTTGGACAACACTTGCAGGATATGCAGCCCGCAATCGCCCTTGCGGTCTGGGATCAGCTGAGGAATGTGCTGCACGAGGCGGATATCGACAAGCGTGTGCAGTACATGATTGAGGTGTTATTCCAGGTTCGCAAGGACAACTTCAAGGACAACCCGCCCATCAAGGAGGAACTCGACTTGGTTGAGGAGGAGGATCAAATCACGCACATGGTCGACCTGGACGGTGAAATCGACGTACAGGATGGCCTCAACATCTTCAAGTACGACGCGGAGTGGGAGGAGCATGAGGAGGCGTACAAGAAGCTCAAGGCCGAGATCTTGGGCGAGGGCAGCGACTACGATGACGACGATGACGATGAAGATGAGAGTTCCGAGGAGGAGGACGACGAAGAGGAGAAGGCCATGGAGATCAAGGACCAGTCCAACACCGATTTGGTCAATCTGCGCCGTACCATTTACCTGACGGTCATGTCGTCCATCGACCCCGAAGAAGCAGTGCACAAGCTTTTGCGGGTAAACCTCCCGGCTGGCCAAGAAGCGGAGCTGCCCTCGATGATTGTCGAGATTTGCTCCCAGGAAAAGACCTTTTCAAAGTTTCACGGTCTGATTGGAGAGCGTTTCGCCAAGCTTAACAGGTTATGGACCGGTCTCTTTGAAGAATCCTTTGCCGACTACTACAGCAAGATCCACCGATACGAGACCAACAGGCTTCGCAACGTTGCGCGCTTCTTTGCGCATTTGCTCGCGACCGATGCTATTGGCTGGCACGTACTCTCCGTTATTCACCTCAATGAGGAAGAGACAACGAGTAGTTCCAGAATTTTCATCAAGATCCTCTTCCAGGACATATCTGAGGAGCTTGGTATGGCAAAACTGCAAGCTCGGATGAAGGACGAGATCCTCCAACCCAGCTTCACCGGCCTGTTCCCGCGCGACAACCCACGAAATATTCGCTTCTCCATCAACTACTTTACCAGTATTGGCATGGGTGCTCTCACAGAGGCTTCTCGCGAGTACCTCCAGAACATGCCCAAGCCAGCATTACCTGCACCACCGGCTGATGATTCCGACTCGGAGTCGGTGTCTAGCTACTCTTCGTACACGGGCTCCTCATACTCCCGCTCTCGATCAAGGTCGAGGACGCCTCGACGCGCCATTGATCGCAAGCATGCCGACTCCAGATCTCCTTCGCCCCGCGGACGGGGCCGCTCGTACAGTCGAGGTCGCAGCTCTAGCAGGTCTCGATCTTACAGTCGTTCAGTCTCGCCTCCTAGAAAGGGACGCCGCGACGACTCGTACTCGGCGAGTCCTCCGAGAAGACGCGGTCGTTCTGCCAGCTACTCCAGATCTCCTTCTCCGGCCCGAAATGGTCCTAGGGACCGTAGTCTCAGCGTGACACCGCCACCTCGCCGGGCAGCCCGAAGGAACAGCTCAAGCGTCAGCAGATCTCCTTCCCCAAGGAGAGGACGTTCTATTTCGCGCTCTGTCACCCCTCCGCCTACACGAGGCGTACCTGTCCGCGGTCGTAGTCCAGGGCAAGAAGCGCGTCGCCCAGCCAGGCGGAACAGTTCATCTGTGAGCAGCGCGCCGCGGAAACGCGCCCGCTACGACAGTCGTTCTCCTAGTCGATCGCCGAGCCGTGCGTCATCATACGATTCGCGGTCTCGCTCCCCCGTTGACCGTCGAGGGCCGAGAGACAGCCGCTCACCTGTTGCCCCGAGGGCACGGGATGGTGACAGCGCCTCCGCGGCCCCGCCGAGGGCGAGGAATGGAGGCCGTGATGCGTCGTACTCTCGCTCGCCGAGTCCCCCGCCCAAGAGGTCACTCAAGCGGGGTTCACCGGATCGAGGACGGGACTCAAGGAGCCCCATGAGTGCGAAGCGGAGGCGATATAGCGATTCGGTTTCAAGGTCGAGGAGCCCGCCGCCGCTGAAGAAGGGGCGGAGATGAGTGAGGTCGAGAATGACGATGAGAGCGGGTGAGAATGTGTATAATGGATTCGCAAGGGTCGATGGGTTGTCCAATGTCCAACGTTTAAAGCATGGCATGGGTCAGATTGATATTTGTATAGCTAAGTCAAGATTAGGAATGGGGATGGTGCCAATGTTCATTGGTGAATTTGCTGCCTCTGGGCGGCTTCTCGAAGTGCTTGCTTGCCTCCCTCTGTGTGATTTTTGGTGAGTTGATCAGGTAGGATGCGGCTTCAGATTACTTCTACCTTAATTCAGGATGGAAGACAAAATTGATTTCCTGCTATTCATCTTCCCCTTTCACTACTCATATTATAATTACTATCCCTTTCTATATCAAGGTCCTTCTTAGGTATATACGTAAAGAAATACACTCTGGTTAATGGAAATTCATACTAGTGACAATAGCGGTAGAACTGCTTGTCGCATGTAGCGAGCGGAAATCGATTTTATGACCTACTTAAGGGGTTACCATTTTACTACTAGTCTCTTACCCAACGCTATCAGTCAACAGGAGAAACTGCGAGAAATTATGTAAGTAAAACAAATAAACGACAACAAAGCCGTGCAAAAAACAACGTGAAACTTTGGAACCAGTATTGGAGTCGGTATCTGAATACCGAAAAACACTTTGTGAAAAATAGCAAAAGAGTGTGATCACGGACGCGATCTATCGGGTCACTGTGGACGATCAGGGGATTGAACCCTGGGCCTCCCGCAGACGCTGAAAGTATGCAAAGCGGGCGCTCTACCACTGAGCTAAACGCCCCGAGGTGTTGGATGATCCTTGGGTTCTGGTTGGAGCCTAAGTTTGGAGCTGCAGCGTGTGGGGGTTCAGGTAGTGGAGTTTCTCAGTGGAGTTTGGTCTGTCCTTGGGTGGCGTCGAGGGTCTGGAGAGTCTGGCGAGTCGCTGGGCAGCTTTGGGTAACCTAGAGGGGCGACCAAATCTTGGTTGTTGGTCCAGGAGCGGAATTCTAGTTTGTGGAGTGGTTCATTTTGCGATTGCGTTTGGTTTCGATGCGAGTTGCGTTGTCTCGTGGTGCGGTATGAGTGGTCCGGCCTATTCTGCTTTGGCGCATCTTGAAGTGGTGTTCCAGATGGTGTAAGTCAGGTATGGGTCATTGTCTGTTTGTGCCCCCTATCTGTGCTTCTGTGTTTATTGTTTGTCATGGCTGACGGTCATCTTTCCCGGAGTATTCGTTAGTGGTGCTGGCAAAGGAGCAGGGTGAGGGAATATGTGAGATTGCCTACCTTACTTACCCTAAGGTGAATATCAAGCGGCAACGAGGGGAGGGGGTATATGGTCATTTACATCGACCCCGAGTACTGCTCTGACATCGGCAGAGCCCGTCGAGTGATCTCTGGAGGCCATTCGGTCAGGGAACATTGATGTCATCATCGCCCTACGTGGAGGGAGAGCTGTTATTATACAAATCGCTATGAAGCTTGAGTAGACATAGCATGTTCCTTCCTAGAGAGGTAACATGTATCTCGTACATGGGATGATATCCAGACGCTAATCGCCCTCATCCGCCAGAACCCGTGGTCATCCAACCACCATTTTCATCTCAAATACATCCCGGATTTCGATCTCGGCTCCTCCGTATATCTTGACACGCTTCTTCCCCATGAGATCCTATCCAAGAAGAACCTCGATCCGGTCTCTCGCAACCGCATCCCACACCCTCTGTACGACATGCCCGAGGCCTCTCCGGTAACACACCCCGCCAACCCTCTCCACCCAGAGTACATTAACAAAGTCCACAATCTCGTCCTCGTCCATGTTATCCCGGAACGCATCCAGGTCAAACACATGACTGCCCCCTCTCTCGCTGGCCATCGACACGGCCACGAACTCGAGCTTCTCCTCCCCGGTATGGTTCGCCCCTTGCAAGCCCAACCAGCTATCGTGCGCCGTCACCACGCCGCACCACTTGCCCGTCCTCGACCAGATATTGCCCACCGCCAGCGGAACGCCGTACCCTCGTCCGGGAGCAACCAAGCCCGTGCCAGGTCCCGTATTATTCCCCGAGTTCACCGCGTTTGCCGCCTTCGCGTCTAGCGGCGCCCCGTTTCGAGCGACGGCGAAGTCGACGTCCAGGTACGCCACCGTCGTGCTGAACGAGAGCAGCGTCGCGCTTAGCGCAAAGTCCCCAAAAGGCGACAACCCCGCCCCCGGGATGGCTCCGTCCGCTCCTCCTCCTCCTCCGCCAGCCATCTCCGCCACGGGCACCGGGTACCGAAACACAACCTCCGGATCTCCCGCATACCGGAACCCGCCGCCGCTCCTCGACCACCCAGCAGGCAACGGCACCGTCCTCCGATGCCTCCGATCCCGGTACGCCATCCCATCATTCGGCAACGGCGTATACGTCGCCCGGTCCGTGAGCTCATAACTCACCAACGACCGCAACCGGAACGCATACGGGCTCTTGAACCTTCTCTCCGCGCCCCTCTTGCCGTGATGCGCCGGCGCCTCCTGGACGTAATCCGCCGCCGCCCGCCAGAGCGTCAGGTCCGCGGGCACGCCGTCGTAGTGCCACCCGAGCCAGCTCCACGACGGCAGCGGGTTCATCCCCGTCACGGGCTGCACCATCAGCCGCCGCCGCACCATCGCCCTCGGCTGCCACAGCATCGCGACGTCCAGGAAACTCACCGGCATGCCGAACACGAACCCGCCCGCAAACGACCGCGACAGCACCGTCGTGATGCCCCGCAGCGCCCTCGTCGTGTCCGACATGAGCGTCACCCGCCGCGCGCTAAACTCCATCGCGATCCGCGCGTACTCGTCCATGTCGGGCCACACGGGGTGCAGGTACCCCGTCGCCGCGGGGAACGTCCTCGACGCACACGGCCCCCCGCCGCCGCCGTGCCTCCCCAGCCCTCCGCCCTTGAGAATCTTGCTGAACCTGCCGCCGCCGCCCGCTGCGCCCGGCGGCCCTTGCCACAAGTCGCAGTGGCACTCCCACGTCACCGTCTCCTCGAAAACGTACACTTTCCGCCGCGAGTACATGCCCTCCTGCACCGTCCACGCCCGACCCGCCCACCGCGATGAGAGCACCAAATCTTCGTGCTTCCTCGCTGCGGTGCCCCTCGGCGGCGGCGTCCTCCGCAACAACCCCGTCAACCCGGACTCGGCGTCGCCCGCTGCCGCCACGATGGTCATATAGGCGTTGGCGTACACGTACGCCATATTCTTGACGTACTCCTCCCTCTCCACATCGTCGTCTTGCACGATGCAGAACCGGTCGACCCAGAGGTACTTAATTCCCAGCTTCCTTGCCAACCACATGGCATCCAGAATCGTCTGCGGGATATCCGCGTCGTCCATGCTCGCCGTCAACACTTCGAGGTTCTCCCGTAACGTCTCCACGGGACCCCGCGACGAAGGCAGCGGCGGCTCGTAGACGTAGCTGAGCGCGATATACCGATCCGTCGCCCTCGCGCGCACGAGACACCGGTTCACCGAGTCGATCAGCCATATCGGCCGCCACGTATCCGTCGGCGGGCCGGAGCAGTGGTCGCCGTGCTCGGCATTACATGTGTCGAGCCACTCGCGCACCCTGCCGACGGGATTAAACGCCTTGCTCGCCGTCGAGGCCGACGACGCGCGGCGCGAGGGGAGCGTGGATGCCGCTGCCGCGGCTGCGGCCCCGACGCCCGGCGGATGATCCCCCGCTCCGCGCGCCGCGCCCGACCGCGCCGCTGTCCAGGTGCTCATGAGCCGCTCTGTGATGCTCTGCCTTTTTGCGCCGTTGTTGGCGCTGTTGGGGGGCACGCTCTGCTGTCTCCTGGCGTGGCCGTTGACGGTGCTGCGGCCTCCTTCTCCCCCTCCGCCGTGGTACTTTTCGTCTAACGCGAAGCTCTGCCGCTTTCGTTCCCTTATACGAGGGCTGTCTCGTAGGCGAGGGCTATCCCTCAGAGGCGGGCTGTCGCGCAGACTTCTGTCACTGTCTCTGTCTCTGTCGTAGTCTCTGTCGCGATCTCTGTCCCTGTCCCGGTCCCTGTCCCGATCTCGATCCCGGTCCCTATCCAGTGGCGGTGATGGTGGCAGTCCTCCTCCTCCCCCTCCTCCCCGTCGCCTCGGGTCCGGACCCCGAGATCTGTCCCTGTCGCGATCCCTATCCCTATCCCTATCCCGATCACGCTCACGTTCACGCAAGTCGCGATGCCGTTCCGCACGAATATCTCTCTCCCTACTCCCCCTAGGTGGCGGCGGAACGTGTTGCTGTGAGCGTCGCTGCGGCGGTGGCGTAGGCGTCTGGGGTCTATATCTGCCGCTGGCGGGAGTGGTGCCGTCGCGGTGATGACGCTTCTTGTCGTCGTGGTTGTGGTCGGTACCTGAGTCCTCCTCATCCGACATTGAGCTGGCCGAACTTTCGTCGTCGGATATTACCACTACGCCAGCTGGCCCATCTCCTTCTCGTCTGGTCGTCGCTCCTGGTGGTGGTGGTGGTCCTGGTGGTGGTGGTGGTGGTGCCGCACCGCTGCTGCGGTCGGCGGACGGACTCGGGTGGTCCATTGCCTTATACTCTGGAAAATTCGCAAACCCCAGTTCCCCTTTCTCTTCTCAAAGCGCAGAGTCCCTCTCTCTGATTTCCCGTCCGTCTTATGAGATTTGCGCTGCTGCTGCAGATGCAAGCTGTAAATGCAAAATGCGCGGCCACTAATGCGCTGTGCTGCGTTGCGCTCGCCGCCAGGCTTTTGAGCGTATTATTACTTACGCTTGGTTCCGCAGCAACGGGAATCCGATCTTTTGGGGGTAACCTGTTCCTAGTTCCTACTCTTTCTCCCTCACGAAAAGAGGTCTGTTTCTCCTTGGCTTTTGCTGTTGCGCCGTGACACTAGTGAAGTGTGGCTCGGTGAGACCGTGCGAAACGGAGCTTTTCTTTACGGGAGTGCGCGCGAGAAATTTCGTTATGCAGGGCAGAGACCAAATAAGAGGACTGGAAGAATCACGGGCGTTGCGCTGATGTTAAAGTGATGACCAAAGTCCGATGGATGATGGTGATGAGGTTGCTCGATTGCTTGCGATGAAATTGGGCTTAAAGATGGATGAGATGAGATGACATGTTCGTCGTGTGAGTGTGTATTGCGACGAGATTGAAAATGAATGGCTTTTTGCGACGAGGCATGTGTACGCGCAACGCCACGCAACGCCAGTCAGTGAGACTGAAAGGTGCGATATGAGAGGTGCGGCGCGAGATGGAGTGTGGTGAGCAGCAGAAGGTGAGAGAGGTGAGAGGTCGAAAAAGGCACCGCCACCCCCGGCCCGCCCGTTCAGAAACCTGGGCCCAACCTCGATCGTTTCTCCCCCCCAGCCCCCTCTATTACAACCAAATTAAACAAGACACATTGGGCATAAAAATCGATGCTCTTTCTCTTTCCCACGATGGATCAAATGGTTGGGCCGTCTTAATTTACAGGGCCATTCCCTACCTTGCCTGATGATCTCCCAACATGTTATTAGCCGAGCACGTCAATACCCAAAAAGCAATTGACCCTTGCAAATGTTGATGGATGACAGGCAACTCGATTGATCGACTGTTTACTATGTATCCATTCGTGTACACCAAACATCACGATATTGGCTACCAGACAATTGGAATACACCTCATGCGTTCAAGTCCATCGTACTCACATCTATTAAAATACATTTGCTTGCTAGTCTAACAAACTTCGCAACTGGTCTCTGCCATCGTCAACCGGGACAGAACCTTCCCCCTTCGTCGCCATCCATCACCGTTCAACTAATTCCCTCTGCGGCCTCATTTCTGGCCCATGGTATTTGTATCGAGTGCCGTTCCCGCCGTTACCTGTACACGTTCCAAAAGCCTCCCAATCCTGTACGCCTGTAAATGTGCAACAGTCTTTGATGTTTTCGCAGTTTGAGGAGACCACTGCTTTGCGTTTGCCGTTGGTCGCCTCTCGACTGTATGCCATCGCCATTTTCTTTTTAGCATCAAACCCCCGAATGAAAAAAAAAACCCTCACAAACGTCATTAAACGTCAACTGTGATCACTAGAAACGTAGAAACCAATAAACCCCCGTTCGGCTACTCCTGGTCGCTTTGTGCGCCGTTGCTTGCTCCGTTTGTCTCCTTGGCGCCGTTGGAGGCCGAAGAAATCAGCTTGATCCTCGTGGTGGAAGTTGCTGGTTGAGGGGTTCCGACGCTCGCGCTAGCGCTAGGCGCCACGGAGCCCTCCTTGCCGCCGTCGATTTCCAGCTCTTGCAACTCTGTATGCTTGTCGAGAGCCTTTTGGAGTTCTTCGTGGAAGAATTTCTAAGCATGTGTCAGTTTGAATGTTCACAAAAAGAGTCAAGAAAGTTACCAACCTGGAGAGTGAGAGAGTCCTGGTACAGAAGCGATGCCTCCTCGTTGTAGGTCTGGCAGTTGCGGAACATGAGGTCGACGTCCTTGCGCATATCGCCAAGGCTGTGGTACTGCTGCTTCTTGATCTTGGTCTCAATCTGCTTCATCGAAATAGGAGATTGGATGATCAAGTAGTAGTCGGCGTAGTCGCGCTTGGGTGGCAGTGCAAGGAAGGGCCCAATGATGATTCGCTTGCCAGCAACCGACTCGTCATCATCCTCCTCTGGTGGCTCCGGATCATCCACCTCAAGGTTCATGAGTCCGTCAAATAGAGCCCTCGTGTTTGCCTGCAGGAGTTGGCGTTGCTGAGCCGACACTCGCGGCGTCTCGGAACCAACAGAGACCGACACCGCCTTGGCTCTACCTTGTGGGCCACGACGCTTCTTAGCCGGAGGCTCATCGTCCCCTTCTTCCGCCTTGCGCTTCTCTTGGTTCTTCGCGGCTCCTTTGCGGCCTCTCTTCTTGGGTGTTTCCACCTCCTCCGTGCTGGCACGACTTGCAGGGGGAGAATCGTCAGCAGCATTGGCCATAGCGGACCTCTTGAGCCTGTTGGTCTCCCGCTTGTCTTTGCGGGCTTGCTTTCGTGCTGCTGCCGCCTCTGGTGAGTCGTCGTCATCGTCAACAGCCATGAGCCACTGCTCTTCCGTGAGACCGTCGTCGTAGCGAACCTTAGTTCGCTCACGAGCTCCACGTCCAAGACTTGTCTCAATCTCCTCTTCGATCGGGTTGCCATCACCCAGGTAGATCTCAGGAAGTTCATCCTCCGCGAGGAGACGAGGCTTAATCTTTGGCCCAGCTGCCTCGCCATAGGTTGGGTCTAGCTTCCGCTCCTCGTCGAGTTTCTGGAAAACAGCCACTTCATCGTCGCTACGAGCAAGGAGCAAGTTCAGCTCCTCGTCGTCCATCT